CATTGAGTCATAAATATGTCCAATGTGGAATCCGAAATCAAGATTGAAGGCACAGATGGAAGCAAAGAGATATGTTTCTGTTCAAATGCCTCTGCAGAAACAAACACACAAATGTAGACAGGTGTACATACTGTATGCCCCACACAAAAATTATAAAGAACCGTGGTGAATCTATAATTTTTGTATCTTGCTTTCAAATAAATTACACATGGTTTACTGTTTGTCTAATGCACTGAAAAAAAACATTTTAAGGGTGGGATAATTGTTTTGTGTACATCAGACACAATGATTTTACTCACCATAAACCACTAGCGTCTGGACGTCTGATTCTGTACAAGAGTCTGGAACACAAACACCTACAAAGTACTCCACCCTGTCCTGCACAACAGAAAAGTATCACCAACATTCACTCTTTCATCTCCATTCCAGACAATGTCGGGTTGTTTAATCACATTGCAATATTTGTATCACACACTAGCATGATACATAACACACTTCTTGTAAAAATATGCAATATTATAATTTTTTTTTTTTTTTTGTGGAGTGAGGTGTACATATTGTTTGTGTGAGTGTACCCGTACCTGTTTGAGGAACACCTGGCAGTACTGTCCCCTGAACTCGGGGCCCTCCACGGACAGACACTCTCTCTGAGATCCAGGTCTGTTCACGTTCCCTCCCTCAACATCACTGCCTATCTTACCAAACGCATCATACACTACAACAAGTGGAGCAGGACAGAAGAAATGAAAAACAATCACACCATGCTATGTTTATAATATATATATATATAAAACGTATGGATAAAATAAAAAAGAAAAGATTGATAAATAAAGAGATTTTTTTTAAAATAAATATAATACATTTAAAAATTTGATAAGACAAATAACATGAAAAATAAATAGCTCAACTAAATGTTTCAAATACTATCAATCAATAATGTATGAAAAATAATGGATATAATAATCATAATCACATATAATAATAACTGCATAGCAATGCCCTAGCAACCACCTAAAACAACCTACCAACTATATAGTCTCAAAAAATATTGATAAATAAACAGATTTATTTTAAATAAATATAATAATTAAAAAAAAATTAAATAGGATACATAACATGAACAATAAATAGCTCTATAATATTTTATGTTTAAAATAGTATAAATAAATAACGAAAAGAGAATAATGGATAAAATAATAATAATAATGCAAAAATAAAATTAACATCATAAATATAATATAAATTGAAAATACTATACAATACATAATATATATATATGGGTGTGTGTATATATATATATATGGGTGTGTGTGTACTGTATGTTTGTATGTATGTATATTTATATAATAAAAATTAAATATATTTTTAAAAAAATACTAACATTTTATATGAAATGATATAAAAATAGTATACATAAAATAAAAAATTAACATATAAACACCTCTAAAATATTCTAAACAACGTTTCAAATATTAATAATATTGTTAAATTAAAATGTCTGATAACAGGCCATGAGCACAAAAATGTGTCAAAGTCAGTCAATAATTACGTTCATGATTCTGGGAGTAAAAAAAAAAAGCAAAGCTCAACCAGAAAACATGACCCACATTCAAGAAGAGGTTTAAAAATGATGCTTTAGTTAAAAGTCTGGCATTATTACTTACTCAAAACAGCGTATTTTCTTGGAGTTTCTTTCTGTAATTCCGCAAGGAACGCTTTTGTGTCCCCCGTGCATTTTTGTGACACGTTCCAGGCACATGCGTCGTGAAAAAAGAACAAGTACATCAGTGTGACAGCACTCCATGTTAACCGTGGCATCTTGTACAGTGATTCATTTTGGCCGTTTCAGTGGTTTAAATAATGTGAGACCTGAACACATGATGGGAGAAGAGGTGGACATGTGACCCGTCATTCAAAATGACCATGGAAATCAAATCGGCACGCTTGGATGCTAGTCTGGCCATCACACCCAAACCAGACATAATCAGCCCTTTACCACCGGGAGGCCAATGAACAACTCGACAACAACACAATGTTTGTTTTGTGAATGTGGTCATGATTTGTTCTCTGCTCTGAAGAACAAAATCTGGAGAAAAAAAAAATCTTAAATATTTCTGGTTAGATTCTTCCAAGGCCAAATCATCTGAGCTATACAATCCACGTTATATTGCAATACTCTTACTGAATATTGGAGAAACAAAAGACAAAACAATGATATTTTAATGACACTTAAATGAGAACTCCATTCAGTCTAAGAGAAACATTTGCCAGAAAAATTCACTTATATTCACAAATATTTAAGGCAGAAAGATGAATGAATCTTAACATGTAGCACGTTTAACAAGACAGAAGATTTTCTCTAATGCCTACAGTGCACTGTAAACCTGCAGTTGGCAAAACTAAGAGGTAATAAGTTGCATCAATATTTTTAAGTTAGGAAATTCAAAGTAAGCAGAACTTGCATATTTTTATTTTGTACTCAGACATTTTATTTGCTCTTAACTTGAAATATCCGAGTAAGCTCATTCATTCATTCATTTATTTAACTTAAAATCATCATATGATCTCAACTTAAAAGTTTTCATTAGAGGAAACTTGTCTAGCTTTAATTAGCTAATTCAACAAATACTAACTTGTTGGTAATACTATTGATAGCATTAGCATATCATAACAATTGCTGAATGAATACTGCAATATATCGAAATTTAACAAACTGTACTACTGTACAACATAACAAACTCTTCTTAATTAGCAAAGCATTAAACACTAAACCTCACACTTAACATTAATCTTGCACAAAAATATTACAACATTTAATTTTTAGCATTCACTCTTCCTTTCGAGCGCCATGGCAAAGCATGCTGGGAAATAGATATCCCAGCCCAGTTTCAGTTATATTTAAGTTGGTCTAAATGAAAAGAAACAGGTTCATAAAGCTCAAAACAATGAAACGTTCAGATTTCTTCAAATGTTTTAGTTTTGTGAACTCAAAAGAAAAAGAAAGTTTTAAAAACTCATAAAAGTTCATTTAATTGAACTCATTTGTTTAATTTAAGTTTGCCCTACTCAAATCAATTAATCATTTTGAGAGTTAGGGTACAATGTGATTTATTTTAGTCACATTATAGTCAATGTCACCCCTGCTAACATGAACGCATCAATCACACCGTAGCGTTTCACGCTGGTCTCTTATTCTGAGAATCCGGACTTTTAATTCCCTTGTAACAATGGTGACCAAGACCAGCGGCTAACAAGAAAATGCTTTCAAGCTAATTAAAATAGGCCCAAATGAGATTCAATTAATTTCTTAAGTATACAAACTCCATACCACTTTAAACATGTTAGATATTCTGAATCAACATGCACCAATGCTACATTTCCTATATAGCATTACTTCAATGAGCTCATTGTTTCTGCCTTAAATTATTACATTGTTTAAATTAATACATTTTTAGCTGTGTGATTTGTATATGTACATTTCTGAAATACATAACTTGGACACAGTCACTTCTGATAACAGATCACTCTAAATTGTAATGTAGAAGACGCATGCATTTTCTGTAAAGCTGCTTTAAAACAATATGCATTGTGAAAAGCGCAATACAAATAAATGTGAACTGAATATTCCTGTTTATGTATCATTTATTAATGATAACAGTTTTTTTTTTTGCACAAACATAGAACAAGGTCTACCGAACATCAGCAAGACATTCTATAAAACAGAACAACCACTGTGAATGGCTTCTCTCATGCACATATGCGTCCTCGTATATCCAAAGGAAAAGGAGAGCAAAATACAGCGTTTCGAGATGGAATCAATGACAAATAAAAAAAGAACGACTGAATGAAACGTTGAAATGAAATGCTACAGCTGAGTTGGAGGGGTAAAAAAAAGCACAAAAAATTTTTGTACAGCTCAATTCACATTTGACCAAAACATTCATTTATAGTGAAGGCAGCATTTGTTGCTCCCCCCTGCCCCCACTTTTATCACACCAAGCATGTGAGTGAGTGGAACATTATACTTGAGAATTTTCCAGAACATGCTGCTCAAAAAAAAAAAAAAAAAAAAAAAAAAAAAATTAGGACGTTAATGTCAAATCTACATTTGGCTTTTGAGCGCCGGAGGCACTTGACCACAATGTGTAGTATATAAGCACTTATGATTTACTGATTTCATGAATGAGAAAACTACGAGTGGGGTGTCACGTACAATAGGAAAGAAACTTATGAATGAACATATTCATTTATACTTTCACATATCTGCAGAGCAAAGTGGCTTTGGATTCAAATGACAAATAAAAGCTTCCCAAAGAACCTCAAAATGAAATGGGCATTCATTTGAAATATGGTTCTTGATAACAGGCCAAAGCTGACCCACTGTAGTATGGGAATAATACAAAATCCAATCAAAAATAACTCAAAGGTATGATTTGGAACAAGCTGCCTGAGAAGAAATGAAGTGAGGAGAATCGTCCGGGTGTGACGACACTTTAAAGTTAAAAAAGCACATATTGATTCAACACGACCTCTTGGCAGTGGCTGAGATATATAAATTTAAAGAACTACTTTCATGTCTTGTTCTTCCGTAGTGCTAAATTATAGTACGTAGATTTGAATGGACAACTAATTGACAAGAACAGAAGCTTTCAGGCTCAATTCCATGACCCATTCTTCAGTCAAATGCCATTTTCGGCTGCTTTAGGAGATGCTTTTCCTGCTTGTGTTGTAAGTTGTGGACTGATTGTCCTTTTGGAGTGCAAAATGTCTTATTGAGAAGTGTAACTGTGACATTCTGTGCACTTTTTTTTAGCAGCAGTTCGGGATTTAGGACCGAAAGTGCATCCCAAGACTGTTTTGGACAGTATCTGTTCCCACGAGAAGACAACGAGAACAGTCTAAAATAGAAAATAAAAAAAAATCTATAAAAAAGGTCTATCCAACACGCATACAAACATCTATCATAAAGTATACAAAATGTGTTCTCATAGATAATTAAATACACATAAATCAGTTTTTAATATATTACACATCTTTAAACACACATTCTGTGTGTATAGATTTATACATTTTGTATATATATATGTATATTTATATATATGTATACGTATGCACAACAAATGAGCATACAAAGAGGCCAGAGTGAAGGAATACAAGACGTTCTCTATGACAACATACAAACAAATAATTCCTTGCAAACCATCATCCATCCACTAGGGGGCACTGCCTCACTCTTACTTCTCAGCTGTGCTCAGCCGTTTGGACTTAATGAAGGCCATTCCGTGTGTCCGCATGTGTGTGTTTAAGGCTCCCTCCGTTTCAAAAGTCTTGGAACATACTTTACATTGAGTATCTGGGATGCCGTCGTTGGCCTCTGGGTTGGGCGTGTTCTCCTGCTGACCGTTGTGGCGTCCGAGTCCTTGGGCTTCCTTCAACTTGTGCACAATGAACAGGTGTCGGGACAGGGAGTGGTGCGAGGTGTAGCACAGGCCGCATTCACGGCACTGGAAGGACGAAACGTCGGTCTTGTGCTGAGGAATGTGCTCGTGGAAACTCACGATGTCCTCGGTGGTGAAGCTACACACGGCGCATTTGTGTGTTTTGAAGACATTGATCTTTAGCTTCTTTAGAGGTTGTGAGGATGAGCTCTTGGACCGCTTACCAGGAGTCACGTCCCCTCCGGCCTCCTCCACTTCCTCTTCCCTCTCGGCATCCTCATCTTCAGAGTGGTGCTTTCGTTTAGGACTGGGTAACTGAGGATACAAAATAACAACAATGCTTCATGCAATGCTAAAATATTTAGAATGCACTGAAATTTAAAAATTCTGGTTTATAATGATAAGCTGATAATAATTTCATGTTCATGTTAGTTTCATGCAGATGGATGGCAGATATACACTGAACAAAATTATAAACGCAGCACTTTTGTTTTTGCCCCCATTTTTCATGAGCTGTATTCAAAGATCTAAGACTTTTTCTATGTACACCTATTTCTCTCAAATATTGTTCACAAATCTGTCTAAATCTGTTAGTGAGCACTTCTCCTTTGCCGAGATAATCCATCCACCTCACAGGTGTGGCATATCAAGATGCTGATTAGACAGCATGATTATTGCACAGGTGTGCCTTAGGCTGGCCACAATAAAACTCCACTCTAAATGAGTGCATTCACACCGGGCAGGAGCGTCGCGTGAGCAACAGTGAAGTGCGGGTTTCGGCGCCGATCGAGTCCATTTGTGCTGCGCTCAATTTAAGTGAAAGCACACTTTTGATGGACAAAATAAATATGATTTCATCCAAAAAGTGCCCAAAATGCACAGAATTGGCAAGTCTGGTGTGTTCTAACAAGAACTGAAGTAGGCTAGGCTATGTCAGAAAAGAAAATGAAGACTCAAAAATATTTACCCAATTAAACTTGTTTTTATTATTTCCCAATCGTTTCCCTGCACATGCTCCACTTGTCCTGTTTAGCTTGGCTGGACATGTGTCAGATGAGAGAAGAACTGTTTGAGAAATATAACTTGCCATTGATGTACAAGTGATTGCAATAGGCCTGTGTGTGTGTGTGTGTGTGTGTGTGTGTGTGTGTGTGTGTGTGTGTGTGTGTGTGTGTGTGTGTGTGTGTGTGTGTGTGTGTGTGTGTGTGTGTGTGTGTGTGTGTGTGTGTGTGAGTGTGTGTGAGAGAGAGAGAGAGAGAGAGAAATTTCTTTATACTGCAAGGCAATATTTATTTAATTTTTATTTGTTATTTATATATTATTTTATTGTCATTAACTGTTTTCATCCAGAAGTTTAGTTTGCTAAATATAAAATTTGTTGTAGTTGGATATTGGTTGTGAAAAGGAAATGGTTCCTCCATAACACTGCACTTTCTTGTGTGTGAATTTCCCACACCAGGAGTAATTTATATAGTTCTATTTTATAGTGATTATCTGTTCAAAAAATGTTCTATGCAAAATGTTCTATTAAAGAGAAGATAGAAAATTAAAATATGTGTGTGCTGTAAAGTAGTTTGAAAAAATTAAATCGGAATCGGCTAAAATCGGTATCGGCAGGTCAAACTCAAGGAAAAATCGGAATCGGGATCGGCCAAGAAAATTGTAATCGGTGCATCTCTAAGAAAAAGTCTTAGATATTTGAGTTCAGCTCACGGAAAATGGAGGAAAAACAAAAGTGTTGCGTTTATAATTTTGCTCAGTGTATATATACACAGTATATACTACCGTATTTTCCGCACTATAAGCCGCACTTAAAAGCCTTTAATTTTCTCAAAAAACAACAGTGCGCCTTATAATCCGGAGCGCCTTATATATGGATGGTGAACACACGTTCACCAAGACGGGGAGACAGCGCCGGGCGATTTACGCCACTATCTGCCAATGGATAGTGGATGCCTGGGCTGATATATCAGTCTCAACTGTGATCCGAGCTTTCACGAAGGCAGGAATAATCTCTTTATTCAGCCAGCTCACATACCCGTATTTACTTCGTGTTTTCGGCCGAAGTCCACAGTAGTTGTTTGTCGAGTTCGCGCGATCAAACCTCCTCCGTGTGTTCAACATCTGATTCGGATGAACTATCCATTTGAGCTGATATTCTCAGAACACCACACAGCACCGTCTTCGGCTGACAGCTGACAGTCTGAGTCTCCACTGTTGCTTAGTTACCAATGATCGCGCGCGCGCACTCGACAATCGCCTACTGTGGACTTCGACCGAAAACAGGAAGAAAATACGGGTATGTGAGCTGGCTGAATAAACATCATTTTTATTCATATCTTTCACATTTACCGCAGTCAGATTCACCGTGTTCACTCACATGGCTGTGCACTTGTAATGACACATTAAAGGGGTCATATAATGGTACATGCACTTTTTCAAGTTGATTGTACTGAAATGTGTGTTGGCAGTGCCTGTACACAACCATCATATAATGATAAAAATCCATCCAGTGTTTTTGTTTTAATCTCCTTATATGTTTTCCCCTGCCTCAAATCGAGCCGTTCGACCGTGTGACGTCACAAGCTCGCACGCCGCTCCCACGATTGTTGAATGACAGCCGGGTTTCAACACAGACCCGCCCTCGCTCGTGAGAGCTGTCAATCATAGTCTGCGCGGACCGGCTCGGCCATTGTTGATATGCTGGAGCACTGTCTATGAGCAGAATGGCGTCTAAGCGATTGTGGTGTTCTGTTCTTGGGTGTAATAACGAACACAGCAGTCATTTTAATGTTCCTAAATCTGAACCGCTGAAGACGCAGTGGCTGAGTTTGTTTTCGAAGGGAATATTCCCCACGAGCAACGTCAATGCTTTCATGTTTGCGCGAATCATTTCTCACCAGACTGCTTTATAAACGAGGATCAGTATAAAGCTGGATTTGCTAAGAAGCTGCTCCTGAATAATAAAGGATCGGTACCAGCTATTCGTGTTCCTGCTGAACCTCTCTAGAACAACTGAAGTGAGTGTAACGTTTTATTAACCTTTATATTAATATTTATATCTTTGCAAATCGCTTGCATGCTTCACGATGAATGCGTCTAAGGTTTACACTCAGGGTACATTACTGGATGTTTTCTATGTACGACGTTCTCAATTTAATTCATAATCCCACGTTTATAATGAACAACGCGTTATGGTTATTGTGTTAAAAACGTGTACGCACAGAACAGAGGGGCGGAGTGAGCACAGCTCATGATCATTTAAAGTCATATGCACTGAAACGGCGTGCTGAAAACAGAGCTGTTTTTGACCAGGTAAAATAACTGTTTTCTTACAATACTAATGAGAATTTTTAATTAAAGTATATTACAAACTTTTAATTTAGACCCTAAAGAATCATATTAGCTTGTACAAAAATGGCATTATATGACCCCTTTAAGGTTGTTAAGAGGCTAAAAGCAGGTTTAAAACTTGTCCCGTTTAAGTCAACAGGGTGCAAATTTTAAAAAGAGGATAACACGGTGTAGGCAACACCGGTTTTTGTCGTTGTTATCTGTACTGACAGCACTCCAAATTTACAAAAAATGAGCTCAATGTTAAAATTGACCGGAGTTTTCCTTTAACGTTTGAACAACGTTACCATGGGAGTGAACGGAGTTGTCAGAACGCTTAATAAAGTTTGACTTTATCTGACTGTTTTGTTGACATTTGTTGACATCTAGTGTATGCATAACGCAAACCCAGTCAAACGTTTGACTGCAGTATCTTATGCGCCTTATAATTCCGGTGCGCCCTATATATGAAAAATGTTCTAAAATAGGTCATTCATTGAAGGTGCGCCTTATAATCCGGTGCGCTGTATAGTGCGGAAAATACGGGTATTTTGTTAGCCAGTCATTGTTTAAAAAAAACATTTAAATCTAAAATCAATGGTTTTTAAGGCATCACAGCATTTTAATAGATCTCAAAATTAGCGCGCACAATTAAATATGCAATTTTGACCTATATCGATAAATAAATAAAAGAATCTAATATACAATATGGTACCAATATATTGTGCATCTCTCATAAAAGACTATGACTTCATAAGGTCATTTACATGTTCATATACACTAAAGTTTTTTTTAAAGAAATGAATACTTTTATTCAGCAAGCATGCATTACATTGATCAAAATATTTCATTTTCAAATAAATGCGGTTCTTTTGAACTTTCTATTCATCAAAGAATGTATCATGGTTTCCAAAAAAAGCAAAATAAAAATGTTTTTAACATTAAAAAATGTTAAATATTTTTTATTGCTAAAATAAAATATGCTAAAATAGAAAACAGTTCTTTTATAATTGTAATAATACTTCACAAGTTCAACATTACTGTTTTTACTGCATTTTTGATCAAATGCAGCCTAGATGAGCACATTCTTTCGATAACACTACAAAAATCTTACGGATTCCAAACTTTTGAACTGTAGTGTACATCTGTCTAATGCATTTGAAACATTCTCAGACAATTCACATGCAAATGTGCTAGTCTGTCTGTTGGTTACCTGCTCTCTGCCCACGGTGGCCTCTGTGCTGCTGGAATCTGCTGGAAGCTTGGCCTCTGTGTCTTTGATGCCGTGCATCAACTGAATGTGTTTCTCTAGCAGCAGTCTTTTGGTGAAAGTGCGACTAGGTTCTGGACAGTGTCTGCGAAAAGCCAAGAGAGATCTGTTTGACACTCATAAAGGTTTGTGATTAGCTTTAGAGTAAAATGAAGAGTTTTAAGCATGAAAAGTGAACGACCCCTCCAGGCATGAGGGACCTAGAACTGAGTTCACAAGCATGGATGGTCCAGAAACACATGATACTCACAGACATGAGTAGACCTTCCGTAGACCCTTGTGTTTGATTCGGTTATGTCTACATAAACTGTGAGAGGAACTGAAGGACTTTTCACACTGTCGACACGGATGCTTTTTCAGTTGCTGGTGTAGCAGAAAGAAAAAGATTGATCATAATAATGCCTATACGTGTGTAATAATGTACATACATTGAATTAAAGCTCATAATGTGAGCTTTTCAGATCGTTCCTATAGCGAATTTGTAATAATAATTAGAGTTGTTTCTCATTATATTTTACCTTCCCATGCTCTCTTTTCATGTGCGCGATGAAGACTTCTCTCTGTGTAAACAAGCGGTCGCACTCCATGCAAGTCCAGCCAGGGCAGGAGGTGGACGATGGGACTTTTTTGGGAAGGTCTGTCCCATTACTTTTCTTCTTTGTCGAGGATGTTGGCTTCTTCTCTCCCTTTTCGAGGCTGTTGATAGAGCCACTCTCCTTGTTGTTATTTAGGCTCATGGAATTAGTAGGTTTGGAGCTGAGAGGGAGATTGATGCCCAGGTTTGGAGGGCCCTCGATGGTCTTTAAGGTGCCATGCAGGGACTTGAAAAAGAAAATGTGTAATATTATAATATATTTTTTAAATTAATGAATATTTTAAAAATACAATTGTTCATATTAAATAATAATAAAATGGCAACTGTTAAAACATTTTACTCAAGATTTTAAATTTAAATGAATTTACTTTATTAAAATGTATATATATATATATATATATATATATATATATATATAAGATTTTAATTGAAATATATTTTAATGGCCTGTTAATACAATTTATTATGGCAAATGACAATTAATTAAAAAAATTGATTTTACCCCCTTACTTTAATATGATCCAACATGAGCTGCTTTTGGGCGTAGTGCACCGAACAATCTGGACACTTGAAGACAGACACTTTCTGATTAGATATATGCTGGTCAAAGTGCGTGTAGAGCAAAGTCTGCTGGGTAAAAACAGTGTCACACATGGAACACTTGTAGATCAGCCTGCAAAACAAAACATAATACATTGCCAATGAAAAGAGTACTTTCTAAAATATTTGGTTGCCTGTTCCTACTTGTCTAGGTGTACATTCCTACTTCTCATTACAAGGTTAAATAGCTCAGGCCGAACAAAACAAACAACATTAAAAATCTAAAGCGTAAATGCTGTGTTGAAGGAATTATGCCATACGGAAACTTGTCAGCTCATTTATGCGTCTGACATCTGCATTAAACGCTCACGTTGTCAATAAAACAGCTGATCATGTTTCCAACATAGATACAGGTAACACAGGAAGTGCAAACAAACCATCTGGCCTTTTCATTAAAAGTGATGACAGGCCTCTTCGGGGGGAGGGGGGGGTCGAGTTCAAATAGAGGGCACAGTAATTAAAGCCACCGAGCATAATTTCTTTCTGCACCTGAAAAGGTCAGTGGCGTATGAGTTCTAAACGAAGCGATTTGACACACCTATTGAGTTTCTCTCCACTCTACTACTACTAAGAATTACTGCAAGCTTGTTTTGTCAGAATGATGGCAGTGTTTAGTGCATGCGTGCATTTGCACGATAGGAAAATAACACTGAAAATGGATAGTGTTTTACCTTAGTGAAAAAACAAAGCATAAATATCCAACAGTTTCATCTGCAATAAACAATATTATACAGATCTATGAAATACTTGTTTCTGATTGGTATATCGTAGCACTCTGAGGTCAAATATTTTTCTATAATGACTGCTCAAACTGTATAACAGCCCATTATACAAGAAACACAGCTGTGTGGGTTTCACGTCACAGTGTTTCTTCTCACAAAATACAATTACTTCAACTCAAATCAATATTTCATGTCTTTTATTTACTCATATGTCAAGTAAAAAAAGTTTCCACCTTCAAACCAATAAGAAAGAAAAATAGAAACTGGATAAAGAAGATATGATGAATCACACACTCTTTTATAAATTCTGTAAATTTATAGAGAGATGACTCACTTAGGCTCTCCAATTTTAACTCCTGGATGCTGGGTGTAGGCGTGGGAATGTGTACTGGGGGCCGATTTAAAAGCCATGGGGCAGATTGGGCATTTGTAGAAGATTTCACAGTGGGACCCCTGAATGTGTGACTTGAGAGCAGCAACGTCAGCGAAGATGATGCTACAGTGAACACAGCTATGGCCAAAGAAGAAAAAAAAGAAAGTGTTACTCTTGAATATAACCTAACCGTCTTTTTTGTTTCCATAATCGATGCCAGTCACCTTTAATGCGGCATCAATCATGGGTGAATGGCGGAATAATAACAGTGAATAGCTCTGTGATTGCCATTTTGAAAGCATGACGAGCCCTCATTTCATGTTCCACTCAAAACCAATTAAACACTTAGGCAGCTTTTTTATTTTTTATTTCAATACATGTTTTATGCATAAATAGGAGCTTTTAAGTCAACTCAGAAATAAGAATAAAATGAGGTCAGTAGGGGTGGATACACTCATCTCACAATTTGGTTCAATACACAGGGCTCCAGACTAACTTTTCCACTGGTTGCACTGGTGCTACCAACTTTCTCAGTTGGTCGCACCAGCATATGATTTGGTCGCACCTTTTTTTTTTTTGCTACATGCCATGGGATTAATCAATGCATGCCGATGAATAGTGGTTTTAATGGACCAAGGCTAGCAAAGGCTTTCTGGGTTGCAGCAGAAATACCTGTAATATATTAATTATCATTGCCAAATTTCAGGATTTTCATGGATTTTAGACAATAATTTTAATCTGTAATTTTAAGCATTTTACATTTGAATTATATACAATCTATCTATTTACATTTGAATCATATTCTATCTATCTATCTATCTATCTATCTATCTATCTATCTATCTATCTATCTATCTATCTATCTATCTATCTATCTATCTGTCTATTATCATCTTTCTATCTTTTAAAAATCATTAAACATTCAAATGTATGCATTACATTTTAAAAGATTAGAGTATTATAATAAACTGATACAGATTTTTCGTTATCAAAGTTTATAGTTGTAACAACAAGCAGAAATCTCACACTCCTTACCTTCTGCATTTTATAATAATTTCCTTTTCCTCTGTCGAGCGATCATGAGAGTAATCGCTCGACAGAGGAAAATATAACCGCTGAAAAGACGTAGGAGGAAGGGGCTCTGTGTTTCGTGAGACCATTTTTATCATTTTTATATGCCTTAATTGGTGAATTCGTAATTGGCGCGTTTCACCATCAGTGTGTCTATGGCGAGTCACGCAGGCACTGCATGGGCTACTCCGCAGCCGAGACGACCCCAGGATAAAATAGTCTGAATATTTAACACTTATTATAGGCGTACCGTAGTGATTCAGAATGAGTCAAAAACACGGTTTGGAAAATGGATTCATGATGTAGCCTACTCGTTCATTTTGAACATAAGTTACGGACTGCAGCAGCTGATACAACGGCGTTCTGTTGCTCAAGCGTCCACTCGCACAAATGCGACCACATGACATTTTAACTCGCACATTCTCAAAAAATGGTCGCAGTCTGGAACCCTGATACACGACATTGAAGTCGTGACTCGATACTCCCATTATAATTTTTTCTTGTAAAAGAATGCATGATTTATAATTGCAATCAATTTGTCATATCCTCAATGTATGTTGCGGCATTTTTTAATTGTGATATATTGTGGCATCATTCATTGCTACACCCCTAGTGGTCAGTGAAAATAACTACAGTTTTGCTGATCTCCGGCTGAGGTTAAAAATCCCCCATTTTGTATTAATTTGCTTTGCATAAATAAATAAACAAACATCTTTTACATGAAAAATAAGGCCATTTCTATGAATCATGGAGATTGTTCTGGCCTTGACAGTTAAAAAGAGTAATGCAGTACTAACCGATAGCCCACTCTGCGTGTGTAGTGCAGGCAGTTCTTGGTCACATGGGACTGAAAATGGACAGACCGACAGATAGCTCCACATTCAGGGCAGATATATGGAGACTTGTGCTGATGGATCCGCAGATGGGAAGCAAAGCTACACTGGTTTGGCAGTAGCATTTGGCAAATGGTGCAGGTTTTCTGTTTAAGTTGAAGGAAAAGCACAAGCAAATTGTTAAAGTCTTTAAAGGGATAGTTCACCCAAAAATTTAAATTCTGTCATTGATTACTCACCCTCATGCCGTTTCAAAACCGTAAGACTTTCGTTCATCTTCGGCACACAAATTAAGATCTTTTTTATTAAATCTATGAGCTTTCTGTCCCTCCATAGACAGCAACACAACTACCAATTGAATTGAGTGGTTTCATCCTAATTTTCTGAAGAGACTCGATCACTTTATATGATGAACAGATTAAATTTAGGCTTTTATTCACATGTAAACATTGATCAGCGAACAAACAGAAGCTCAACCGAACATGCTTGACATGCGAGAACAAACCTCTTGCAGAAGCTGAAACGTGCTGCATAACACTTGAATGAATCTCATTGGTTCTTGAGCTTGAGCTTCTGTTTAGCACAACTAATGTGTGAGTTGATGAATGTTTATATGTGAATAAAAGCCTAAATTTAATCTGTTCATCATATAAAGCGATCATGTCTCTTCTTTGACTAAACCGCTCAATTCATTTGGATTACTTTTACGATCTCTTTATGAACTCTTTAAATCGTCAAAGTGGTAGTTGCATGTTCCGAAGATGAACAAAAGTCTTATGGGATTGGATAGACATGAGGGTGAGTAATTAATGAAATAATTTATTTTTGGGTGAACTATTCCTTAAACACAACTTTTAACTACTTCTGTAAATAAAAGAGGAAGTCAGTGTTGTAGTACTCAAGACTGGACTCTACCCTCTTCTGGTCTTGGCCAGGACAAAATAAACTCTTCACAAATAATACATACACCCACCTGTCCACCTGACTCGGGAGCCTGCTGGTAGTGCATTGCAAGAGATGACTCTTCCTGAAATGTCTCACTACACTCCAAGCACTTCAGATTTGATTTGCAGACCTTGGCGGTGTCCTTATCCAGTGGCATGGCAGCAACAACGGGGGCTGAAGAGGGTGCGGAGATCACTGTGGTTGGGTTTCCCTTCCCTTGACTTCCCACAATGGAGGATCCAAGATTAGCTGAAGAGGTGGGAGCGGTGGAGGTTATTGATGGCGCTAGGATCATCTGGTCAGCTGGAATTGGCTTCAAGATAAGATGTGAACACTGCATGACAACCCCTTTGTCTTTGTGTCCTCTAGCATGTGACAGAAGGCTGCACTTGTTGTAGAAGACCAGGTTTTTGCCGCAGTGATTGCAAGTGACCTCAATGCGAACACTTCTACGGTCATAATGCTGAGTTAGGCTTTTTTCTAGGGCAAAGGAATCACCGCATTCCAGGCACTTGTAGCCACGGGATGGTAAAGATATACAGGCAGAAGTTGGAGGGCTGAGATTGGGTACATAAACTGGCACAGGGTTAATGCTACTCAAAACCTTATTGAAGGCCTCTACCACTGAGCTCTGGGAGCTAGTTAGGACCTGGACCCGAGACACTTTCTTTTGTTGTTGTTGTTGGGCCAAAATGGCTTGTTTGATGGGTTGTTGAGACTTAGTCAGGACCTGGTGGAGCTCAGCTGCTGATGGATTTTGAGGCAAGAGATTTAAGTTAGTTAGGTGGACTGTCTTTGGCACAAGTTTGGTGTTTGTTAGGCTGGAAGCAGGCACCATGACAGTTTGTTGCTGAATGGCATTAGCAGCTTTGAGGATGGCACTGCTGGCACTCTGAACGGATGCCGCCGGTATGACAGTGGCTTTTACAGTTGTATTGTTGGCAAGTTTCAGATTAATTACTTGGGAGCCTGCAGTCTTGACAGCTGAGACGGGTAAGAAGGCAGTGGCCACGGGTTTGATGGTCATTTGTTTAGTTACCTCAATGGCAGAGCCTCCAGAAGTAGCTACTACTTTGGTTGGCAAAGTTGTTCTGGTGGGAGATGAGAAAACAGAAGTCGAGATTGGAGTGGACAGCAGAGAAGAGACAACATTGGATGAAGAATCAATACCTTTCTTCAAGACATCAGGATCAAACTCGGGCAGGACTCTGGTAACTGTCCTCTTAATCTGCCCTGATGATGTCTTGATCGTTTTGATGCGGACTTTGGGAATGACTGGTATGGATCCTGCTGGAGATGCTGGAGATCCTTTGCTGCTACTTTCACTGGTAACACTGCAAGGACTTTCGGGTTGTTTTAAGAGCATCTTCTTGCCAAGCTCCAGAGCTGACTCCTGCTCTGGTGATTTCTCTGTAACCTTAGGGATCTCTTTAGCCTCTCTGGGTGAGTCTTGAGGTGTGGCAAGGGATTCTGGAGACATTGCTTCTGTGTTAGCTTTCTTTGCACTGAGTGCTGCAATTGCAGCGATGCAGGATGAGAGCTTTGCAGATGATTTGGCCTTGGCTTGGGAGAGGTTGGTCGCACTCAACTCAACGACTGGTTCTCCAGGCTCACTTGCTTCTTGGGATCTGGAGGTTTCTTTGGAGGGCTCCTCAGTTTTTCTTGGTTTTCGAGAGTCATAAAGGTTTGAGTGTTCCACTGTGCCATTAGTGGTACTATTCTCAACTTTCATATGATTGTAGTTTCCATTTGTTCTTGGTCTAGATGGACCATCTGGTTTAGTGAGTTGAGAACGAGGCTCTTTAGCCTTTGTGCTCAGACCGGTTAGAGGGTTCGGTCTAAATGGTAAATTACTTTGTTTGTCGGCAGGGTCATCTACTTCAATCTTGTCGTCATCATCAAACTCCTCGGCACTAGAGATGGGACTAAACTGGTTGAATGTGGAGATATTTCCTGCCATCCCATGGATTTCACTTTTTTGAAGCTTGTCACTCTCTTCGCTGTATCTATTGTTGGGTGAAACAGGCAAGAAACCGTTGTGCAGTCCATTTTCGACAGATGTTGAGTGATGTTCAGTGGTATCAAAATTCCGGACGTTCTTAACAATAACACTAACCCCAACATCTGGACCAGACGAGACATGGGAATCCTCTTCATGGTGGGCATGGTGTTTGAGTTGTCCTTCATGATCATCATGGCCGGACTCAATGGCAGCCTTGGGATCAACCATGTCAGGAATGTCAAAGGCTGCAAGTAGATCATCAAAGTCTGGGGTTTTCATGTCGCCCATGGTCTTAAAAGAATGAGCTAAACACCTTTGAAAAAAAAGGGGAAAGACATTTTATATTACACTCTGTATTACAAATATAAAAAATTGCCAGTATTCTTGTCTTTAACATTATATTCTTGCGTTGAACTATGCAATATATAAAATGACCACAACCACAGCAAAATGTTTTTTCAAGGCATTAAAACGATTTAAAATATATGCACCAAAATGCACATTACAATCATTATATTATCATGCTAATATCTATTGATACCATAAAAAGCAACTCTTACTGAGATACAAATTGAGTTAAATACATGTAAATAAGAAAGGAAATGTGAATTATTTGGACATGACATACTGTATAGGAGTTTTAGTCTACCAGTAAATAAAACAGTATATAAAGGTGCTGAAAAATATTAAGAAAGCCCCAAATACAACATGTAAAACATAATCTAAACATTAAAAAAATAAAGAAACAGAAAACTGTTTAATAAGCCTAAGCAATTTTTGCACTAGTATGCAGGACCAAATCTGGAAAAAATAAAAGCAATAAATAAAAGAGATATTGATGATAAATGAATACATTTGTCAAATACAACAACAAAATGTAAGAATAACAGTTACAAATTATTAAAGAAATTAATAAAGGACTAAAATATGTAAATTATAAAATAAGGAATATATCAAATAAAAAAAATAATTTTAATTTTAAGAAGACCACATTGTGTGAATAATACATTTAGCAAAAAAACAAACAACAAAAACAGATTTGGGTTGATTCTAAAATATCAGCACTAACTAAAAATCAACCAACATATGAACATCAACATTTTGGCATATTTAAAGTGGTAAGAGAATAATTTAATTAAAAGAAAAAAGGAAAATAAAGCTGTGTTGTGCTAGTAGGGTTACCCCCCCCATTACTCCAGCTACTGCTGCTTTTATTGAAATGGAAGAGAGCAGCACTGCAGCCCTGCCTCCATTACAGCTAATAACATCTGCACGCACAGGGTATGCAGGGCCAAGACGGCCTTCCCCACACACAATGGAGCCAATGTGGTAAGGCATGTAAGCAGAGGAGCAGCAAACAAAAGACAGAAAAAGATATAACACAAGGACTAGAGTATTTTAATGAAAGACATTAAGCTGTTAAAGCCAGTATGGGGCCTAAACACATTTACAGCTGAGCAGCCTGATTTAAAATGAGGGTGCCGCTCACAGGAAAACAACTGTGATTCTCGGGTTTCTATCCGAGGCCTTTAAAATCAGGCCACTGTACGACACAGTAGTCCAATTATTTGAACAATATAGAATATCACACACATAATAAAAGTGAACACAGAGACACACACATACACATGCAAACATACAGAAGTGGAAACATGCAAATGAGCCACTCCTCACCCTCGTTGTTCCGACAACTACAGCACACAATCTTGCTTTGCTTCTCTTCTTCCTTCCTTCCTTCCTTCCTTTTACCACCTCCACAACAAAACATCACCACCCTCCTCCTCCTCCTTTCTCCCTGACAGCAGAAGGGAAAAAAATCCACTTTTTGCACTAGGCAGGGCCCATCAAGAAACGATCCACCAGGAGGGACACGGGACGGCACGCCAAAGACCATTCTGGATGGTGACCACTATGAATAACAGCACATAGTGACCCACGGTCACCAAATCTGCTCAGTTCTCATGGCTGCCTCCCGACCCTGACGTGCATAACCGTCTCACGGTGTGTAAAGACTGTCTTTCTAACATCCCTGCTCGGGGCTGTATTACTCCTGAAGACCCCTTTGCCATTTTGGCTGCCATGAAACAGTCAGCTATCTGCCTGTAGCACAGTGACTGTATTGTTTCCTAGCATCCTCGTCTGCCTCAAACCGGTTTCAGCCGGTTCCGGTCACCCTGCATAATGTGTGTGCTGCAGTGCAGCCACACAGGAGACACAGGAGCTGCCAGTTTCTTCATCAAATCTTCAATATTCCTGCAAAATATTCCTGCTTAGAGTGTGTGTTAATATTATCGAAGAGGTTTGTGTTCAGAATGCGTGTGCAATTCACGTTGCCGAGCTGAATCAAACGCTAGGCCTGAGAAACACAGACTATGGAGGACGTTTATGAAAAATACATGCACACCAGAGGCTCAGAGCTGGTTTATATGGATGGATGGATGGATGAGAGAAGGAAAAATGAAAAGACAAAAAGCAGATGCACATTCCAAAGGAAAACCACAAGCACTGTGTAAACCAAAACCACAAGATGAGCACCGTTTCCTGACAGAAGAAAACAAGACACAGAGACAGCAAGTAGAATTTAAACAGGCTCGGTACCTGACCTCTTTTTGATTGTGCCTCTCGCTTTTACCCCATTCTGCAGCACTGGACTGTTTCTACTTCCTTCTCTGCCTCCCCTCTCCCTCTCTCTCTCTCTCCCTCACTCTCTCCATGGTCCCTGTTCCTCTCTTCTAGCCAGTGTCCCTGCTTCCTCCTCTCGTGTTTTCCCCAGAAAACCAGTGAGAAACACGGATCTTTGTCAATTAAAATCAGCTGCTCGTCCCCTAATCCTCCAGCCCTGGGCAACCGTGTCCGGTCTCTGCCAAACGAGAGAGAAAACAAAGGCCGTGACACGTATAAAAACACACACACAGAGAGACACACAAACAGGGAAAAAGTAGGCTCTTGCCCTACCCCGCTTCTCCTCGGCCCTACTACCGGGAATCTTCCTGGAAAGGCTTATGCAAGACGTCAGTCCAGCCAGGCCCCATTCTGTATGAGTGTGATTTTTTTTTCTTCACTATGAGCCTGCTGGTTCCTGTTCTATAGGTCACTCTCTCCTCTGCAGATGCACGGCAGCGCAGGGAGGAAGGGGGCAGTGTTCTGACAAGCAGCCCTGGCCTTTTGTCTTTGCGTGCACTCGTGGGGGGGAGGGGGGATGCGGGATGAGACTCTGGCTCAAGACTGCAACCAGCTGCTGCAGCCAAAGAAGACAAACAGATTTGAGGAGAAAGACAGAGTGACGAGAGAAACAGGCAGTGGAGAGGTGGAGAAATAATGAGGGAATATGAGACGGGACTGGAAGGAGGGGTGTAAGGGGAGAAGGGAAGCTCTTCTGGAGTGACGTTTGCTGAGAGAACAAAGGCCCATGGTGGCGTTGGCTAGATTGAAGATAGAATGCAGTCGAATCATGTATGCGTGTTGTTTTTTCATGCATGTGCATACAGAAACATTCAATCCTATTGGCTCAGGCATATTTGAAGAATCCCCAAAGAATTATGATGAAATTAAGAATTAAAATGTATATCTACAATAATCATTCAATTGTTGTGGATGTTTTCTTTATTTTGACCCTGTCGCACCATTTATAAAGAAAGCACTAGATGTTCTTGTTTCTTCTACGTGGCCTTTGCCAAGCAAACAAACTAATCTGAGACACTTAAAGCAGAAAATACTAAAGTCAAAACCAACCAAATGCTATTACCAACACTAGAAAGACTAACCCATGAACTTATGAACTCATGAGTCACAAAGCAAATTCCGTTTTTTCTTCAAAGTCAACATGAGTTTCCATTTGCAACCTATGGCACTTCCCTAATCTGATGTATATCCATCATGTAAAACAATATTAATTTAGATTTCATTCATTCATTCGTACCAGTATGCAGGCGAACCAAATGTGAGTTTACAAAAATGTGATGTGATGACATCGGTAGTAAAGTCATTTCACAGGATAAGCAAGTTACAGCATTTTGATTTAAAGGTGCAGTGTGATCATTTTAGCGGCATATAGTGGTAAGGTTACGAATTGCAACCAACAGACGTTATGGTGGACGACAGGAAGAGATGTCGTCGTCTGAGACACCAGAGAGTAGCCAGTTAAGCAATGAGGTTTCTTTACAAAGATAAATTAAGAAATTATGTTCGCTTAATTTTTCAGTAAAATGATGTTATTGCAAATATTATTGTTACTTGTTCATCATTGTATCAGTGTTTTATTCGCTGACTTTAGCTAGCTTCTTTGCACGAAGAACAACATAGTGACGAAACGCGCTCTGTAGTAGTTTGTCCGTTTAGGGCCACTGTAGAAACATAGTGGCACAAAATGGCGACTTAACGTGTAAGGGGACCGCGGTGTATGTACTGGTAGATAGAAATGGCTTGTTCTAAGGTAATAAAAACATAACGGTTCCTTATGTAAGGTCTTTATACACCACTCAAAACATAGTTATGTATATGATATAGCATTTCTGTCAACATATCCTCCTAAATATTACACAATGCACCTTTAATATTACAAAGACATTTGTGTCCAAAAATCATTTATAACATAAGCAAGACATGCATGAAGAAAGTAAATGGGGTCCATTTTGATTTCCTGTTGACTTTAAATAAAAATGGATAGTTATATTCCAACTATAATTAATTATTACAAACAATATTGTTGACTGAATATTCAATATTCAATGAGAAAAAATCCAGGACGGGACTCGATTTTATCCATTTGGGAATTGACTGTATTGTGAAAAGTCGGCGTTACGTACCAGTATGCAGCCAAACCGAAAGCGAGTTTACAAAAACACAATGCCTAAAAAGTTATTTTTAAAGCTTTGCACGGCCTAAGTGATGACATCAGCAGTGAAATCGTTTCACAGGATGAGCAAGTTGCATCATTTCGATTAAATATAATTACTTTATATAAATATATTAATACATTTTCATTAAATCTAGGCGTTTTCTCAAAGGATCATTACCAATAAAGTAAACGGGGTCCATTTTGATTTCATCTTGACTTTAAATAAAAATGGAGATATTTCTACTGTAATGGAATATTAAAAAAATAATATTCGAAGAAAATGATGATCATTTCTCGTGTTATATAAAGAAAACATTGGTGGTTGCTCGTTGTGGCCTACCAGAGGATTCTTTAGCCCTGGACCCTGAATTATTTACAGGGAGGTTCACTTCTGATGATTTCTGGAATGAGAAGAATATATGAATGCATGTAGCTATTGCATAAAAACCCAACAGATTCAACGTCCAGAGAATGAAAACCTCCAATCATACCAGTAAACCATGACGGCAGCAATGCTATGGTAAATAAATGCATGTAATGTATACTCTCCACACTAGGCTTGGGCGGTATCCAAATTTTGATACCGTCAAACCTCCTCCCTATTTTACCGCGGTATACGGTATTACCGCGTGACTAATTAAAAATTATGACATAAGGCTCAGACGGCATCACCAAACTGTTGGTTTGTGCAGGGATGAGTCACAATTTTCGAATATTCAATTATTTGATTTTATTATAGAATATGGAATAGGTTGTGGGATTATTGTCTATAAAAAATCCCCATGTTTTTGTTCTGATGCGGTGGTGACACGTTCAACCAGAGGGTGGCGATGCCAATAATGCATCTAAAAGCTGTCAATCAACTCTCAGACAACAGGAGAAGATGCACATTGTCTCACACCAGAGCATGTGAGCGGAGTGGTAATATTTCCTCCAGAGCAGAGAGCGCATTTCTGAAGATCACGCGCCGCTCGCCCAGTCCACTCAGCGGCGCGCGCTCAGAACGCCCGCAGTGACATGCTGGTTAGAAAACATGTGAAGTAGGGCTGCCCGTGCACGACTAAAGTTTTTTTTTTTCTAGTTGACTAGTAGTAGTTGATTTAAGCCATTAGTCTAATCACATATTTATATTGATTAAATTACTTAAATATATATAGGAGAGAATGCTAAACCATAATGAGCGTTTTCGTAATATATTGCCTATTCTGCATCTCAAAGCACGCATAAAGCTTGGCACAAAGAACCGGCAAAAGTAATTATGCATGAAACATTTGAATTGTTTATTAATAAAAAACGTTCTATGTCAGTGGCTGCACAGATAAAGTTTACGATGCAGACTCGCATCTTCGCAGTAGTGAACGCGCATAGATAGAAATGCACACTTCATATGAATTAGCCTACAGAGAGCAGGCCATTTCTTTTAGTTTTTAATTGTTTTGTTTAAAAGTAGACATTTCAAGCTTATTATATATATACACTTCTCAGATATTTAAGGCATCTATCTTATACGCTGAGTTTCGTTCTTTTTAGGAGACGCGCTCCAGTTCACGCGCCGGCTTATATTGTCTAATATATATCCTTCTTATTTATTAATCCAGGCAATTCGTTGATGAAACATTGATTAAAATGAAGATACAATTTATGCGAAACGAAATTCACTTTAAAGAAAGGCTTTCTACAAAACAAAACGTAATAAGTGGTCAAAAATCATGTCTGACCCATTCCAAATGTTTTCCGATATTGGGCATCTTATGATCCTATCTTATTCATCTCATGCAGTTTCCTTTTCATATAATCAACATAGATGAAATAAAAAAAAAATAACAACATTATATTATTAAACATAAATATGAAAAGAAATGAGTTTTTTTTTAGTTTTTTTACTTATAACCTATTTAATAAGTGTCACACCGCTCTGCTGTATAGCTGTGTAGCCTACATGCATGTGTGCGTGCATATGGTGGAGGGGTGCGATTTTCGAATAATAATCAAATACCAGGCGATCTTCAAATATTATTTTTGCTTGAAATGCCCATCCCTGCCAAACTGCAGAAGTCGTGTTCTTCTTCGAGACCAGGTCACTCGGTGCGCAACCTGCCATCTTTCCCCCTCTCTCCCCCACTCTTTCTCCTCCACACTGTCACGTGATGACAACCACACATAAGCATTTTTAGCCATTAAATAAATTATATTTAATATTTAATCCTTTTCTCCTATATAAGTGCATTGGATTTTTTTTTATGACGGTATGACGATATTGAAACTGATACCGTTGCCATTTTTAGATCCCGCGGTATACGATATTACCGTATTACCGCCCAAGCCTACTCCACACTACACCCCATTATCAGCAACCCTCTTGGCCTTCCACAATGACAGCTATCAGAAGTATCAATTCAAAGAGCAAAGAACAGATGCTGACCTACCTGTGGGTTTTTGTAAGAAAGAGCTTTGTCTCAATTAAAAGCTTGCATGTGAGGGCTCTTCTTCTCAGCAGGGCAGCAAAGGCAAATATCAAAAGCAAGAAGGCCAGCCATGATTCTTGCTGTTGCACCACCAAATTCAGCCATGCACAGCATAACCTAGAATGACAGACATCATCAGTATGCATGAAAGAGGGACTCAGGAATACATTGCAGTGCTGTCAAAAAGCATTGCAAAACGTTGCTCATGGGTGCAAGAAGCCCTCATGACAGCACTGCTCTAAAATGATCGAGAATGCATGGCTTTCCCCCAGCCGAATACAGCAGTAACATGGAGAGGTTGCTGCCCACCCCCCCGAGATGTAAGCGCAGTCACATGACCGCCTGTGTCCTATTGATTCCTCAAATCGTGTAATAATACCTATGAATAATACTGCCAGCTGCAACATTGAACATTTGAGTTGCAGAACGTACTATGATCCCACCACGATTATCTCGCCCACCGCGGGGTATTTATTCGCTCTTTTTAACGGAAAAAAATAAGTTTCTTTTTTAAAAATTGGGAAGTGTTCTCTCAAAGCTTGACCATATTGCTGCGCGTTTCTGAAAGGTTTCGGTATGGAACAACATTTGCGTTATATAATCTCGTTTTTTGTACTTCACACTGCTTTAATAGGGTGAGCTGAGCTTTTTTGTGACCGTCAATCCCACAAGCCCTTGCGATTTTCACAGCGGCACGATTCACCAAATCGGCTCTTTTGAACAGATCATTTCCAAAAATGATTCAGGGAATCTTTTACGTCATGACGCAATTGCGTCACATACGTACTTCCGGCGTAGCATATTATGCTCTAACACCGTTTATTACGTTTTTTTTATAAAGTGTTATTTTATGTGTCCTGGGTGTCGTTTGTTGCAGCCTTGATTCAGATTCAGAAGTATTTATTTTAGAACCTAGATATTCACAGAAGGCAACACTATCAAGCTGAAATAACCTATTTCCTAATCTTTTTTGTAACTTTTATGGTGTTTGGCAAAAAGTTATTTTTCGCTTAATCCGAATCCCTTTTGAATGTGTGACTTGAGGTTTTGTTTTGATGAGCTGACTCGAGAAATTCTCGGACCTCGATCTGGTTTGTGAAACTTTCGCTGAAAGATCGGTTATGTGAACCGGTTCAACTGATTCATTGAAACGATCCGACTCATATTAACAATTAATTTACGCACTTGAATAAAGAAAATCTACGGTTGGTTAATGATCTGAGATCATAATCGAAACAAGACCACGTATTAAAATTACTTTATTATGGCGAGTATCGAAATGCTGGAACATTTAGTGGATTTTTTGTTGTTGTTGTGCCACCCTCATGAATCATCACTGCGGTGATAGATAGGCTACCTATGCGCTCCTCATAATCTTCAAGATCTGTCTTAATATTTAAAGACGCTCCTATTGAATAAGAGTTTTATTATAATATTCAGCTGTTGACATCATGCGTTTCCGTGCTTGGTGTGTGAGTGCCCACCCAGTTCAGCTCATGATCAAACCTGATTCCGAGAAGTCTTGCTGCACACATCAGCAATGTGTGGTAGAAACAGGAGTTTCTAGTAAGCATTGAAATACATTATTAATATAAGTGATTGTGTATAGCACGTTTGTGGACACAATCATGCAACATTTGCAGAAAAAACACAAACAGAATGGCGAATGCAGGGACAATTAACCTGGATGTTTTATAGGGTAGAGTTGTGTTGACATCATTTCATTTCTGACCTTTTCATCTTTAATCTGAACTGAAAAAGTTAGCCTACTCAGTTTGCTTATTAGGACTGAGGCAATATTCTTAGTCAAGTAATATCCTGATTAACAATTGTCCTTTTAATTGTGATTTTTTATAATGCAGTAGGCCTACAGCAATTTGCAATGTTGCAAATAAATGCTTTTTTTTTTTTTTTTTTTTTTTTTTACAAAAAATCAGATTATTATCAACATTACCATAATCAGCTGTGACTGGGCTTTTATTATTATCATCGGTTTTTATTATTATTATTCCATAAGTCCCATATGGACGTTTTTGTCCTTGTAAACTGGCGTCCTCTCATCAACAGAAAGGCTACCAGACTAGTTAGTGTAGCCTAATGTGGTTGGTAACCTTCAAATTAAACCAAATAGTTCCATCTAGTGGTGAAAGTGATGCTGTGTTTATTTGCATGAATTACATTTTATTGGTTGCAGGGTAATACTGTCTGCAGTTAGGTCTAGTTTGCCTATATATATTATATATATATATTTTTGTGTATGTGTGTTTTAGACCAATTGTGACACATTGGTATATCTTGCAAATATTTTAGTTCATTAAGAAAAAAGATTTAATGCAACATATATGTAAAGTATACTTTGATTTGCAAGATCTTTCAAATAAATAATTAACCTAACATTTCTCTTTTGACATTCAACTTCGTTTCATGAATTAGCCATTATGATGACGTAAACGACAGCATGAGAAATCCACCTTGCCGGTTACAAAACTGACAGTGCCTTTGAGGTCTTATCCATACTTTTAGGCTTTGCTATCTGGGTTTGCTATCCTGAAATATCTTTAAATACATCCCTCAATATTATCCCAATATGATACTCACAGAAAAGCATGCACATTGCCTCATCTGCATGCACGCATTGTTCACTTGTTGGTTTTTCCATCCAAGTGAAACCACAAGCATCAAAGCACATCTGCTCTTTCTGATTTACAGAACAATACAGGTTTTTAGGGGGTTACCAGGGATGTTGTTCTCCTTCAGTGTCATTGAATGCAGGCATGAACAGTGTTTGCCATGTAGGCCTAATTAACACTATTTCAATTTTATTGAGGCTTTTCCTATATCCATGGCATGACATGCTTGGACTTTGCAGGAACTTCCATTCTACATTTGTTTGCTGGGTGAGAGATGTGAAATTAACAGTGGATATCATTGAAAAGTGCCAAGTAATTTCATCACGCTTATACTGGCCTAAAAAATTCTTAATTCTTCTCCTAGTTATACATCTGCACCAAGTACTTTATATTGATGGACAGAGTTAATTGTACCTTCTTCGCTGTGGCATTTAAGCTTTTAGGTAGTTTTAAGCTTTCACTTTTAATGCCTTTTTTACTGTCTGCAATATATGAACTCCTTATTTCATAATTGTGTGCAGTATGCCACTAAGTGGGGTTTTGTGACCATTTTTATAGTCATTTTATTTGAATCAAAATACTTGTTTTGCAGTACTAAAAAATTATACACACACACACACACCAAAAAACAGTTTTTTTTTAAAAAAAAACTGCCTTAATCCTACACCTAAACACAACCCTTACAGAAAACTTTCTACATTTTTACATATTCAAAAACACACTTATGATTTATAAACTGTTTTCCTCGTGGGGACAAAAAAGGCCGAAAATCACTATCTTTGTCGGTCCCCATTATGTAGGGTTTACCATTACCAGGTCCACACAACAGATTTGTAACTGGAGATATATTGACAGCTTTAGGCTGCATGTGTCCATTACCAGGAACTTCATTATTCATATAAAAAAAAAAATAACCAAAAAAAAAAAAAAAAAAAACCTGCCCTTATCTGGACTGTTGGCTGGTTTTACAGGTGTTGTGGGCACTATTTAGCTGATCAGAATGGGAGACCAGTTAAATTAACCTACTGTTTTTTTTAATCACCATTTTCCTATGACATAAAGCAACTGCAGGAGAAAACAATAAGGAGCCATTTACAAGTTATTTTTACCCCACATCTAATGAAATACCGATGACACTTCACATTTAATCTGTCTTGGGGAGCATAATAGCCCGTGGCTGAGATAATGACAGGTTAGCTCAACATGACATTCTGTTTTTTATTTATTTTTTATCAGCCTAACCCACCAAGATACTGACGCAGAACCCCTGGGAGGGGGCATTAAACTTTCAGCGTAACACCCTACACGAACCATCCAGACATTGGCACGACAATTTCTCTATAGCGCAGGAAATTATCGCGTCATTGTCTTTCACTTAAGTGGTCGTCGTCACGGAAGTAGCCTATATAAATGAACTGATTATCTAAATGCACAATTACAGGGGCCTCTACTAGCAATAACTGTACGAGCGGTTACAGGAGTACTGATCGAGGAAGGTGAAGGGACTTGAGTCTTATATGGGCGTTATGTGCCTCGTATGGAGATCCAGATTAGTGGTGTCCATGATTCTGGTTGTTGTACTCTGTGGTGTGTATGCATCAGACGCACAACCAATTGGAAAAGTTTATCCACGCGGAAATCACTGGGCTGTTGGTGAGTGAAAATCTTACTTTTAATTTTCCCAAACCAAAAATAACAATAGCCTATAAGTTTGGGTCATATATAGCTATATATATAGCCTATACTCGGTTTTGGAGCCGAATAAATGCATTTAAATTGATGTTACATTACATAACGCAAGCTGCTCTGAATTTACATTTGTTACTTTTTTTAATAGAAAATTATATTAAATGCTTAGAGTCACTGTTTTGCTTAAATACTGAATGTTGAAAATTGAAGTCAAAGTCTTATTTGTCAAATGAGCAACAGTACTTGTTGAAAAAAGAAGTGTATTTTTTTATACATATAGGCTAAGTAAGATGTGTAGGCCTACAATAACAGGCTGTAATAAAATATAAGCTATTAAATTAAAACATAAAATTCAATAAAATTGTAAAATATCAATAAATAAATGATAAGTATTTTTTTTAGAAACAAATATGCTGATCTAAAGGACCTATAATGTAACCTCTAGAACTTTTGATCTAAAAAAAAAAAGAAACATATACGCAAAAATGGTCCTGGATAAAAAGATTTGTTGCTGAACGGAGCTGCATGCAAACCATTGAAAAACTGAAGAAATGCTTTAAGAGTTTACAGTAAATTAAATCTATACCACACTATAGGCAATGATAACAATATAAACCACTTGATTAAACATACCAGTGGTAGTTTATTAAGTGCATGTATTATGTATATCTGGAGTGATTGCAAAACACTCAAGTGTCACTTAAGCTTTGAGACTGATGAGTGAAAGTGGATCCATGGGGTGTAAAGAGCAGACTAACAGCTGTATCTTAATTGGATGAAAATAGGGTGTGTATCTGGCTTTTTGTATGTTTGTGTGATGAATTTGTTTAGTATAATAGGATATATTCTTTTGATCCTGTTTTTGAGTCTGAATTCATTCTGTTGAGATGTACTGTATTCTGTGCTACTGAACTTGTGTTGTATTCAACAATTTCTCATGAAGCCTATCTTGACATGATGAATAGAAGGAATTATGGATTATTTTGGCTCAAATTACATTTTGTTTGCACATTAATACCAGACTAGAATCAATATGTGTTTTCAAGATATACATAATCTGCATTGTTATGCTTTTTGCGCGTGTAATGGAGTAGCTGTGAGTGTAAACCTCACTCCCCCAGCCTCAGGAGGCACACTAGCGAATGACTCAAGAGGCTGCGGTTTTTAGTGTCCTTGTTAGTGCGCCCGCCTCCTAAGATGGTGACTCTGGTTTAAATCCCGCTCTGAGCTGTAAGAGTAGGACCAGTCACATTGGTGCCGTGACCCGGATGGGAGTGAGGTTTAAGGGGGTGAGTGTAGCAGAGGCCAGTTAGTAATAGAGCTGTTCAAGTAAAACTCGCTTCCCCGGCCTCAAGAAGCGCACTAGCGACTGACTCTAGTAGAGGCTGTGGTTTTTAGTGTCCTTGTTAGTGCGCCCGCCTCCTAAGATGGTGACTCTGGTTTGAATCCCGCTCTTAGCTGTAAGAGTAGGACCAGTGACATTGGTGCCGTGACCCGGATGGGAGTGAGGTTTAAGGGGGTGAGTGTAACAGAGGCCAGTTAGTAAAAGAGCTGTTCAAGTAAAACTCGCTTCCCCGGCCTCAAGAAGCGCACTAGCGACTGACTCTAGTAGAGGCTGTGGTTTTTTGTGTCCTTGTTAGTGCGCCTGCCTCCTATGATGGTGACTCTTGTTTGAATCCCGCTTTGAGCTGTAAGAGTAGGACCAGTCACGTTGGTGCTGTGACCCGGATGGGAGTGAGGCGAGTGTAATAGAGGCCAGCTAAAAGAGCTGTTCGAGTATATCTCACTCCCCTGGCCTCAAGAGGAGCACTAGCAACTGATGCTGGCTGCAGTCTTTAACGTCCTTGTTAGCGCGCTCACCTCCCATGCATGTGACACTGGTTTGAATCCTGCTCAGAGTGGGTAGGAATAGGACCAGTCACACTTGCAACCACATGAAATCCATATACGTTTAGTCATATTTATAACAGTCAGCCTTTAATGACCTATATTTGTTTTAGGGCACTTAATGGGCAAGAAAAGCACAGATGAGCAGGTCAGACCAGAGGAATCAGAAGGTGATGATAAGACCTTTATGACGACCCCAGACCAGGATCTGCTGCTGGAAAGATTCAACAAACATCTGTATGCGCTCATGAGAGGACAGACAGGAGCGGAGAGCATGCAGGACGGCACAGAGGAGATCGATGCTTCGAAACTGCTCCAGCGCATGCTGACCAAGAGACGTCAGTGGGAGGAAGATCACGAGAGAGACAGACAAGTCAAACTGGTGAGAACACAGGAACTAAATCCTTAACAAGATCATTATGTTCATGCGTAAATGCGTGCAAAATGCATGTAAAGTGCATAAGGGTGGTTCTGATCTAATAGTGTTAACACAAATGGTCTGCAATGTACAGTATATAATGAACAAAAATGAAATATTTATTGTTAATTATTATTGTTATTATTATTAACCTGTTAACTGTGAAGCATAGAAATGGTTTTCACAGCATGAATTTCCAGTGTTTAAGCTTTCGAATGATACATTTATGATGATTACTAAAATATTTGTTAGAGAAAGAAAGCTTTAAAAAAGTGTCCCGCTCCAGGACACTGACAGTTAACAGGCTAGAGTTTTTATTTGACAAAATAATGTGTAATGCGAATGCATTACTTAATTACTGTAATTTAATGACTTTTCCCCTACACCAAAATGTAACGTCTACTGTTAAAAGTAACGAAATAGAGAATAATTAGTACAGTAATCCAATTACACTATTGAAGATGTAATTAATAGCTAATTAATTACTTTGTTTTTTGTCCTTAGTTTCTTATATACTGTAAGAATGTTTATTTTGTATATATTTCACATACAGGTTGAGGACTTCTTGTTAAAGGCTTTGAGAATGAAGGATGACAACCAAAGCTGAGGACAAACCGGACGAAAGACTGTGGTTTGAAGTTCACTTGTCAACTGACTCTGTCAAACACTTTATTCCACAACATATAAATAAGCATGTTATATTTTTGTATGTCACTATCTCAAGGAAAATACACATAAACTGAGTGTCATCATTCTGTATATTTTATGCTATTGTTTTATAAATGAATTCATCTTCTTGGTAACTGACACCATATAGTAAGCATTGTAGTCATAGTTCAGCTGAATAATATATAATCAATTTGAACTTGTTGGGCTATCTGCGGTTTATAAAAATGACAGTGTGCTATATAAATACGCTACATATAATACATTGCTTTCCATGCATTATGATTAAACAGTAAATGTACTAAGCTTGAATACGCTAGTATGTGTCAAAGAAGAGTAAAAAAACTGAATTTCTCATTCCGAAAGTAGATTTATTATTGGTTATGATTGATCTATTGAGGTGACAGGCCATAAACCGCCTATTAATCAAGCATTCACTTAACAGAGGCAGGCAAGTGACAGGAAAGCTCTTCACCGCGCACTAATGACCATCTGAATAACTAAATCACAACCTCTGCATTGTCTGTGAGAACTGGCAGGAAATTGTTGATGGTCTGTCTCGCCCGCTCTCAGCTGTCTGTGCGCAATAATGGCTCCAATTATTCACACCGGTGTTTCTAACAATGAAAAATGTCAATTAGAGCCACTTTCATTTGGTTAAGTTCATCTAGTTCACTGGGATGTGTGCTTTTCTCATTTGTCACAGATGAACGCCCACTAATAGAAATCCAGCATCAATCAGAATCTTAATGCCGCAAAAATGGCAAATGTTAGATTTGGTGATGATAGACGTGATGTGTGTTCATTTAGATGTACATGGGTTTGGTATATACGAGTGTCTCGAACATGGTAATGCAAACAACTATATTGACTATATCAATTTGTGAAATGTTGCTTAAATGTAGGATATCTATATGTACCTCTTGAGAGGGATTTTAAAACAAATCTCTATTTTATTTGAAAGGCTTACACATCTGTGTCGAGAAATAATTCTACATCAAAAAACTTTATAATACATGCTTCATTTGAGTTTTACACCGTATAAATGACAAAAATTACAGCAATGTGTCGTTGTGTTTGAGGAGTGTATTTGGGGACTGACCCCTGATTTATAATAACTCCTGATTATACTATAGTAAAAATAAAAAAAGTTGAATGAAGGCTGGAAATAGAACACAACCGAAAAATTCACCACAAATTTAAAAATGTGTAGATTGTAAGCAGTGCTGGGCAGATTGCTTACAGATTGTAGTCAGTTACTGATTCCAAATTACATGACAAACATTTTTATTAGTAACGTAATCCACTACATTGCACATTTAGGTAAATATAATCTGACTACTCTTTAATTACTTTTATATTACTTTTGAAAAAAAAAAATTCCATTCCTTGTTATCAACAACATGTGGTGAATTAAACTATATTAGACAAACGTCAGGGTTTCTCAGACTGGTGTTCGTGATGGAACTGCAGGGGTTCATAAAGGGATGGTTCACCCAAAAATGAAAATTCTGTCATAATTTACTCACCCTCATGTTTTTCCAAACCTACATGAGTTTTGAAGAATGTTGTTAACCAGAGAGTTGACGGCACCCATTGACTTCCATAGTATTTCCCCCCCTACTATGGAAGTCAATGGGTGCCGTCAACTGTCTGGTTAACAACATTCTTCAAAATATCTTCTTTTGTGTTCAGCAGAAGAAAGAAACACATACAGGTTTAGAACAACATGAGGGTGAGTGAATTATGACCGAATTTTAATTTTTGGGTGAACTATCCCTTTAATAAAACCATTAAAAAAATAAAAACATTTGGGAGAATCAATGAATTATTAATAATTTACTGACATAATGAAAATATCATGTAATCATGCAATCAATGAAAAGTAACTGTAGTCTGATTACGAGTATTTAAAAAACGAATTATAACTAAATATAATCTAATTACAATTACTTAATTTTGGAATCTGATTACGTAATCCAGATTATATGTAATCAGTCACTACCCAGCACTGATTGTAAAACTATTACCACAGTGTGGGCGGAGAAGAATGTTCCAAACGCAACCACTAGATGGCGGCATAATGAAGGAGAAGCGCCACAGTGAGCGAGGCCTCTGCCGCTCTGAGACTCACAGTGCGATGCCTCTCTGCTGGCAGCCTGGAACCGGATTCTCCTGGCAACTGAAAAGCAAAAATTATAATTTTCATTAAAAATAACAGTTTATATCCTCCTGAGAACAAGAAAAAAAGTTTTCAGAATTTAGTCAATTAAAATGTTGAAACATTGTTAGAGCATAAGAAACAAATGGGATTTCTTTTTCTTTTTTCGATTCATATGTATGCAATGTTTTCTGTAGTGGACACCGGGAAATTATGTTTAAATAAATAAAAAGACAAGAAATGACATGTATAGGGAAAAACAACTGGATTTTTTTCCCATTCACTAATCAATGTTTAGTATAACCAAAAGATGATTCACAACTGTTATTAAAGATATGACAGAATTGATTTATATACAATTTTACTTTATGCAATATGTGGGTAAAATTACCATTAATAGGTAGTCCCATTCAATAGCCTACAATGTATATGTATTTAATTAGCATATTAATGTGTTCTTGGGGCAACATGTAATGAAAAAAGAAGTGTAATACAGGGAGTAATAATTGGCAACATTTTCATAATAATATCTATTTCATAGGAATATTGATATATCATTTCTTTCCCTCACTTGTTGTGTCTCCCAAAATGCCTGATAAACATAAGTTCTGGTGTCCTCTACAGTGGACATGTCTAAAATCAATGCCCTGTTTTGTATAACAAAAAGCCATATTTTGATTATCATATTTCCTGAGATGTTGATTTAAGACAAACAATTTGAAAATTAGTCAGATTTAAATAATTACAAAATATTATCATTTTCCATAAGAGTGCTAAATTTGATCACTAAGGTAATGTCAGTCATTTTTAACGACCAAGGAGAAGTCATGGTGAAACCTCCAAAGATGTGTACTCTTTACTGGACAATCCAGACTTAAAACTGTGACACGTATGGTGTCAGAGAAATTTACTAAAATATAACGTCCACTACAGAGGACAAAAGTCTATTCCTGGGTCCCAGGAGGATATAATAAACAATTCTTTACAACTATATAGGAGAACATACCCTAAAATGCAATGATAGTTTATAGCCTGTAGAAATTAAAATTAATTTATAATAAATATGCAATAAAAATTGACTCAAGTTTAGTTTATAGCATGACAACATCAACAATTTAAAAAAGCATTAAGAATTGGAGACAGATTGCATTTAATATTTTTATGAGCTTGTTTTTATTATAAAATACAAAATTCATCTGTACAGTGAAAACATACAACAAAACGTCATGGAAATTGGCCAGCTGCTTTGTACAATACAATGAACAAACCCTATAGCACTGGATGGCTATTTTAAATGGGACAAATGTGATTCTGTGAAATTAAATGCATGCATTTATAATGCAAACATTATATGAGCGATATTTATTTCTATCGTTAAATGCTTTTTTGGTCCAAAAATGGTTGAATTATGTGCGAATTAGCAGGGAAGCTTTATTGAACTCTTGATAAAAAAAAAAAAAAAAATCAAAAAAAAAAAAAAAACGGTAATGTACAATGAACAACTCTGGGAGGTTTATGAACGACAAACAGATGTGAAAACCACTTTCAGGACCAAACAGAGTCTGATTTGGAAAGTTAAAGGAGATGCGAACAAGTCTCTGAGTGTCTCAGTCAGTCCAGCATGATTCTCAGTCTACCACGTCTTCCCGATAGACTGGATGTGTTCCTTAGCTTTCATTCTTAGCGAGGCGATACTTGTGTTTCGTGGGTCTGCCTCTTCTAGTGAAAATTTATCCATAAACCCCGAGCACTGATAGGCCGGTGGAGGGGGGCACACCGCCCCGATATGGGGCAGAGGGTGGTTGAACGTGGATGAGCTGAGGAACTGTGGAGGGGTGTAGCTGGCCGGAACACCCTGCTGAGGGGTGATGAAGCTGGGCAGGGACTGCAGGGGAGAGCCGGAGGAAGAGATGGGTCCGGTAAGCCAGGGCTCCAACTGCAGACCGCTACCCAGAGACAGTGGCCCTGATCTGGGGATGGACAGCATGGAGGACTCCTGCAGCTTGATGGAGCTCACCTCCAGTTTCTCTTGACGTCGCCACTTTGCACGCCGGTTTTGGAACCATACCTGAAATGTGACATAAGAAAGGATTTAGTTTATAACGCAGACGTTGCACATATTGAAAATTCACATTGTGAGGGAAGTTTAGACGCTATTATGTAAAAACCCTTCAAATACACTGAAAACCTAAAAATGGTAACATCTAAATTAACTGCTTTTAATATGAAAAATAGTATATAACATGATGTAATAGTATATAACATGATGTATGAGTATATAACAAAATGTAATGTGACCAACCTATATAGCCTACCTCAATTTAAAACTTTTTATGGGTTAACCAGAAATAGCTCTTTAAGGTAACAATGTAGACACTTGCAAAAATGGATTCATCTGTTTCCATAATTGATGTTTATTTGATGATAAAATAGGCTATATATATATGGCTATATATATATATCAATTGTTTATGGTCGATTCAGGTCGAATCATAATTTACTTGACTTGTTATTTGAAACCCAATCAAATTTGACACTTTTTTCCCACTGATAAAGGTTACTTAACTGTCACTAAAATTACTTTCTAATATTTACATTCCAATGAAATCAAAGAGAAGGCCAAATTTTCTCTGGTGCAACTCAAGAAAAAATGACAATTTTTTGAAATCTCTTATTTTGCTGAACTTTACTTTTAATTAGTTGATTACAAGTTGATTATTTTTCTAATTTTATTTTGCACATTTCATTTTTTGTTATTTTTTACATTACATTTTATATATAAATAATAAAAAATAACAAAACAAAAATACTCAATTATAAATAAATAAATGCGTATAGTTATGTATCCTATTTTATTTGAGTTTGTATTAGCTATTATTATATATTTTTTAAACGGTTTTAAAAATATATATATATACAAATAATCTTTTATTATAAAAAATTTAACTTTTATATATATAAAAAATATATATATATTATATTATTTTTTAACGAAAATGTTTTTTATAGGCCTATATATATATATATATATATATATATATATATATATATATATATATATATATATTAAGTAGGCTATCTGAAGGAACCAATGATGAACATGTAAAAAGAAAGGTCACATAAATAAGGTCAAATACTATTTCTAATATGTCATTATCTTATTCTCCAAATACAGAGCTCATGAAGCGCATGATCTGTGTTGCGCACGCGCTGTGCTCACCTGTACCCGAACCTCTGGCAGGTTAACTTTGAGCGCGAGCTCCTCTCTGCTGTACACGTCAGGGTAATGCGACTTCTCAAACGCCCTCTCGAGCTCGTGCAGCTGAAATGTGGTGAACGTGGTCCGGTTCCGGCGGTGCTTTTTCTTGGGATTTTCATCATCCGATAATTTACCGCCATCCGTATCTGGATCCGGACTGACCATGACAGCAGATCTACAGACACCTGTAGACAAATAATGGAAAGTTTTCCTTGAGAAGGTGTGACGTGTTCATATATTCTAGTTAAAAATCAGGCATTTTAATTATTTACCTTTTTTAACTACACGTGATTTTTTTTTTTTTAAGTCATTAAACTTTTAATGGTATAGGCTAACATTGTCATTTATGTAACTTTATTTTATAGGCCATAATTCTTTAAATAATGTAACTTTCTTTCTTTCTTTCTTTCTTTCTTTCTTTCTTTCTTTCTTTCTTTCTTTCTTTCTTTCTTTCTTTCTTTCAATTTTAACGTCTATTTCATTTACAATTTAAATATAGCCTATAAATCTTAACAAGCCTAAAACTTTTCAATAAACCTTTCAATTTATATTAATAGCCCATTTAAATGTGCATCAGATGTACATGTATATTATTAATAACTTGAAAATGTAAGTTAATTTGCTATAAAGTGCTGCCAAAATGGCCAGTTTTAAACCCTGAAAATGAAACTTTACGCATCGGTTTAACTTTACTCACCTTCAAAGTTCTTGGAGTTCTTAGAGTCCTTTTGGGGGGACAGCAAGTGCTCAGTGTCTTTGACTGATGGCTTTCCTGATCCATAGGAAAACGCCGGGTGGAACAAATTCTCTCCTTTAAATCCCAAAATGGATTCAATGCTGTGGATCCTCGTTTGGGATCCAGGACTGCGAACCAAGCGCGCGGATGGGGAGAGACGCTCTTCCATGTCTTGGGACTGGGATCCAACAAGCTTCATCGAACGTTTTGATGTGGAAAACAAAACAAAACAAAGTATGGAAAGCTCAGCTATATTTCCTATTCGATACACTCAGCAGCACATCAATTTCCAATAGTCCAGACTGTCCCAGCAGAAGCAAGTCATGCAACTTTCTCCAGTAGTGGTCCTGCACACACTGAGGCTGCAGTGGCCCCCAGGGGCCTTATATGGATTCCCCTCGACCGGGATTCTATTGTGTGAGTGACATCCCCTTCGACACGTCAAGAAACGTCAGATTGTCCGGAGTGAGGGATATTGTCCCTGAGAAGAGCATTTAACTCCTCCCAGAGATTCTTCTGCATAATGGCAGCTTTAGAAACCGCCTTACATAAATCTTAAATAATCTTTTTCCCACTCCAGATGTCTTGACCATGATGGCCTGTAGAAATGAGAGGAACTGGGGCTGGATTACATCTTTAAGGCCGAAACAGATCATAATTACAAAATCTCTGCACGCGCAAAATAACATTAAAAACGTCAGTTTACAAAAATGCTCCGTAACCACGTGCACCGAAATAGTTGTATATTAGCACCAGCGTCATAAAAAGCTTACACAGTTTAGGCTAAAAGAGATTCCATCGAAGTTTATCAATTGGAAATCACAGCTGGGTGACAGTAAAAGCGGAAAGTCTCTGTTTTTCTATATTTGTTTCTAATTTTATTTGATTGATGTTTTGAGTTCAAACGATCCCTTTATAAAATGTTTAAAATGAAGGAGAGACCTATTCTTTGTACATGAAATTATTATAATAATGGAATTTGTATTAATAAAAAACATAAAACAAAGAGTTACATAGGCTATATAAAAAATGGGTTTAAATAGCCTTAAAAATAATAATACAATAAAAATAAAACAAAAAACAGGCTACATTTTAAACTCTGGCTTTCTTGGCAGATTGTAAATTTACTGTTGTTGAGGCGATAATATTCTATAAAAATAAAATAGTAACAAAAATAACAAAGATGGCTTTTCATAGGCTACAAGTTCTAGAAGAAAATGTAAAAGTTATTTAAAGTCTGTTTGTGAACATCAAATTATTAATAATCCTTTAAACCTGAATGGAACATGCCCACTCAGAACAGCCGGGAAATTTGATAAATTGGTAGGATTTAGTTATTGTAGCCTATCTATTTTAACTATCATAATTTTTGGTGATCAAACGTTTAAGAAGCCTAATTACCAATCTAAACCGATAAAACACCGCCAAGAACTACTTTACGCCTACACTTCGAGCATGGAGTGGTTTCGGCCATTAGGAGAGTTTGTTACATGAACAAAACGCGATCTCAAGCAGCAAGCGCGCGACCCCTGAGAGCTGGCCTACAATTGAGGTGCAGTTAATTGGAAGAATTTGCAAACTTCCTCAATATTGAATGGATACGTGTAATTAGCTCCGAACAAAGATTGACAGCAGTCTGATAATCCGCAGGACACACGCTGGTTTGAGGGGATTACACACTTTCCCCCCTCTATCCAAAACAGCCCAAATCCTTTCAACCGCTTGGCTTTTCCCTAATTACAACAGATAATGTTGGTATTCCGAGATTTATTCAAAGACACACACACACACACGAAAAATCAAAAACACCGCAAAATACAAGAACGTGTTTATGAAGTAAAAATTACTATCTATCTATCTATGAAATAAAAAATTACTATCTATCTATCTATCTAAAAATACTTTCATATTATTCTCTGATTAGGATTTTAATATAAGGATATTTACAGAAAAGAGAAAAGTAGGCCTACATATTTTTAAGTAGGCAATTTTAAGTATGTTGTTTTTTATATACCTTTTTGGTTTGTGTTTATCTTATTATAAATGGCATGACAATTTTTTAAAGTGCAAATTTCCACTAATATGAGGTCATAGTGAAGAGACAAGATTACTGTGTTATATTGTCTAGTGAAGGAATTTAACTTGTCTTAGACCTTGTAATCCTATTAACAGGTAATCTTAAAACTCCCAAAACATGCTCTTTTTTAATAAGCATGAACTTAGAATCATTTAATATTTATTTTCTCCCAACTTGTCATCGGGTATTGCTAAATAAACCATGTTTTTCAGGCCCTTTTTATTGGATTTGGCTGTTTTCTTGTGCATGTAACGCTATAAAACATTGACAGTATGATGTTATGGTCAAGAAAATCTCACAGACAATGACTTTTTGTGATCACAAATGCACAGTTTGTCAATCGTCTGTTTTATTCATATGTTTACATGAGACATCAATCATATTCATGCCTATTTACCTCACATTAAAAAGTTACATACCACATATGTAACTTAATACATAAGACTAAAGAATCCTAATAAACATTACAATATCATATGCGCCAATGCTAGATGGTCTGCTGTCAAGAAAAGAAGAAATAACAGCATCACATTCATCTCAACCCTTGTGCAAAAAAGCAGGAGAGAATTAAACAGAGCTTCTCCTCCGCCTCTGGTTCAAGTCATTATATGTTTGTTAGATATATTTACAGGTAAATATTGCAACATATGCACACAAAAAAAAAGGGAAAGAGAAAAGAAACTACAACATGATTTATTAACATAACATACAAAAGAAATAAAGTCGAAACAGCAAAATATGGGGCCAAGCAAATGACATTCAGAGAAGCTGAAAAGCTGATCAGATGGTGCGGCTTCGAAAATTAAAATTAAACTTTGGTAACACTTTACAATAAGGTCTCATTTGATTTTAGATTTTGTTTAGATTTTTCTCATTTAGGATTCGTAATTGTTGGAATTAAGGTTAACTTAGATGAATAAATGATGTAAATGAAGTATTTTCATTGCTAGTTCATTTTAAAGGGATAGTTCACCCAAAAATGAAAATTCTGTCATCAATTACTCACCCTCATGTCTTTACAAACCCATAAGACTTTCGTTCATCTTTGGAACACAAATAAAGACATTACTGATGAAATCTGAGAGATTTCTGTCCCTCCATGGACGGCTACGCAACTACTTGACACTTCAAGAAGTTCATAAAGAGGCTTTTATTCACATTTAAACATTGATCAGCGAACATAAACAGAAGCTCAACTGAACCTTCAGATCAAAATGTGAATAAAAGGCTCTTTACTTTTATGAGGGCGAGTAATTATTGACATAATTTTCATTGTTGAGTGAACTATCCCTTTAACAAATAAAACCTTATTGTAAAGTGTCACTGAAACTTGAACAGCAATAAATCAATGCGGAGGGAAAATTAAAATTCTGTTTTTTTTTTATGTTTTTTTCAAAAGAGACCTGGGTTGTGTTTCTCAAAAGCATTGTGAGCTATGTTGATCATAGAGACCTTTGGTGGCAATTGGAGAATTGCGATGCTTTTGGGATACGCAGACCTGGATTGTAAAATGTGTGAATTTGCTAAATCATTACATGACAGAACACTTCTCCTCAGCCTTGGACTTCATCTCCGTCAGTGTAGCGCTGGCTTTCTCTTTTATCTGATCCATGTCCATGTTCTGTAAGTTCTGCATCTGCCCCAGGATGGAGTCCTTCTCCTCCTCCTCTGTGGCGTCCTCATCCACCATCTTCAGCAGCTCCTCGGGAACATCTACATCATCTCCTGCCATCTGGAGCATGTTATCGTCCTGCTCACTCTGAGGGGGGAATACACACAGGGAGTCAAACGGGGACAGAAGTCACATTGTTACTTTTACATTGACAAATGCAAATATTCCTTAAGAGTCATTTTTTTCTTAGTGTAAAGAACATTTTGTGTAATGGAAAGGTTCCATGGATGTTAAACGTTCTTCATGGAGTCATAGATGTAAAGAATCTTTATTTTTAACCCTCTGGTGCTCCTTGCACTCAAAAATGACTGATATTGTATTTTATTCCAATGAAATTAATGTACTATTTTAGTTTGATAATGTTTTAATTAATACTTTGTATTTTTAGGGGATTTTATGGAACTAAATTATATTTATACAGTAGTTATATTCCATTTATTAAATGTTAACCACTTTGAGCATAGACCTGAAAATTTAATTTCCAACTTAAACTGTTATACATTTTGAATGATTATTGCTGAGGTGAAAAAAAAAGAAAAAAAAGTGGTTATAGAAGTTTAAGCACAAAACTATCAGTTTTTTTTAATGAAATATATATTTTCCAAAACTCTTTTACTTTAAAACTGTGAGAAAATTAAACCCACACATCTAGAAAGGTTGTGTTCCAAATTTTAGGCTATCGTCTCAAAAAAATTAGCTTTCGGTAAGATTTTGTATGGGTGAAGTACCAAACTTTGAAATTAGTTTCCCATTCTTTTCCAATGCCGTAATTTTGACCACAAGGAGTACAAGTGTGATTTTTTTTCGTTTTGTTTACATTTTCGAATCAAATCCATGATTTTTTTTTTTTTTTTTGCATTTACATAGCAAGTGCCAAAACATTTACCAAGTTTCGTAGCATTCCGATGAAGTAAAAAAAACCTCTAAAAAATAAAATGTACAAATTTTCAGTCAAAAATGAGCAAAGGAGAGGAGTGTATCGAACATTTTAGACTCTAGCATCTTCAATGTTAGCCTTTTCGCATTAATGCATCACATATTGAAGAATTAAGAGAGAAAATGAAGCTGTACAAAGACGAACAGATGTTGTGGAAAGCCAATATTGTTGGAGGCTTGCGCAGACCTCAGTTCACTCTCTTAATCTGGTTAGCTTATTTATTGGAAGTGCCGAGAGCTCAGAGCCACACAAAGCATCCATATGGGAGAAAATACATTTGTGTGTATGTGCATGTGTGTGAGCCAAATGCAAATTAGGAATTTTAGAGATTCATTATTTTCAACCCAATAAATATTTGTTACTGTAAGTTACTATAAAATTCATGTCACACTGAGGGACCATTTATGTGCACTGTAAAATGCTATTAGGTTATTCCAAATGGTGGAAACGTGGTGGCCATAGACTTTCCATTTTACATACAGTTTGGGATCAGTTTTAATTTATTTATTTTAACACATTTTTATTCAGCAAGGACGCATTCAATTGATCAAAAGTGACAGTAAAATACATTTATAATGTTACAAAATATTTTTTTTTAAATAAATGCTGTTCTTTAGAACTTTCTATTCATCAAAGAATTCTGAACAAATTTTTTTTTTTTTAAATCACTGTTTCCACAAATATATTGCGCAGCACATCTGTTCTTAACATTGATAAAAATAAATGTTTCTTGCTAGGCAAATCAGCATATCAGAATGATTTCTGAAGGATCATGTGACTGAAGAATGATGTAATGATGCTGAAAATTCAGCTTTGCATCACAGGAAATAAATGACATTTTAAAATATATTCAAATAGAAAACAGCTCTTTTAAACTGTAATAATATTTCAAAATTTTCTTTGGTATATTTTTGATTAAATAAATGCAGCCTTGATGAGTATAATAGACTTTTCAAAGACAATCTCAAAACTGTAGTGTACATAAATAATCTTACAAACTTTTATTAAAAATGACGACATAGTATTTGAGAAAGGAGGGGCAAAGTGACTCTTACTTTAGGAAGCCGGTATTTTTCTCGTAGACAAACTCTCAGAGTCGCCCTCTCTGCTTTCTTGTGTAAGAAATCTGCATCTCGTTCCATTCTGTGGAAATGTTTTAAAAACACATCATCACGTGCTAAGAACAAAACAGAATAATAATAAAAAAGAGATGATTACACTATGTAATACAGTGGATACTAATCTTGTGATTTTCATGTTAAAAAAAACATACCACCGGTAAACATGTATAATTCACTGGAAAACATGCATTGCACAAACAGTTTGTTTAAAAATCCGTGCGTGACGGAACAGTAGCGCTAGAATGAAATGACCCCTGGGGTTTAGCTCTACAGCTTAACTCTAGATAAAGAGCTTCAGGATGCTTATGGCATTGTTCAGGCAGTGCGACGACTACACTTGAAGCAAAGCTAGTTTACCAGCAACAACTAGATAATAAAATCCTTTGGATATTTGATCTGAAGCTACACAAATATCTTCAGATGTTTAGATGTAATCTCACACAAGACATGTATGTTTATTGTATAAATCATCTGTTTATAACCTGGTCATATTTCTACTTAAGTGAGCCGGCTGATGCTAGTTGTTATCTCATCTCACTTGAACATGAATAATATCAAATCTTAGGATTAAACTGGCAATAGCTTTTTTTTTTTTTTTGCTGTACAATTTGATCCGTATGATTTGAAAATCTCCTTATTGTCCCAATACGAAAGGCAACAGCCTTAATAAACTTAAAAATAAATATTTTAAACACAGAACCACAGACAGTGTATATAATGTAGTGTTAAATGAGTAAAAATAAGTTGTTTTCTTCGAAATGTATTTGGTTTGCATATATACTCATGTATAAAAATTCAATCATGATTGGTACCAAAAAGCAAATGTTTTTCATAACCAGAATGTGCAGCATTATTCCATGTATTAATTTGGTTATTTAACCACATTCCCATAAGAGCAGCACTGAATGATAAACACTGTGAATTTCAGTATCAAAGATTTTTTTTTAAGATAACTCCGACTTGTTACACTTCAACAGTGAAATGGCCATAAATAAATATCAGCTGTCTCTTTAACAAAAAGCAAAAAATTAAGTAAGGAAGATTTGAAATATGCAGAGGTTCATAATTCTCCAATACTTTCAATACTCCCTTGATACCATGATTGTTTCTAAAAATAGCATTATCCAGCTCAACAAGGCCAGGATAACCCACGCTAAGCTCTGCTCTCAGGACTGATTAGCAGCTAGCATCTGACGCTTACTCTCTGATACCATCATGGAGTCTGTTCGTCTTTAATCGTTGACGTTCTCATCTTCACACCCAGAGATAGTTCAGGTGCAGATCTTAGCATGATACATCACTATGGAGAATGACAGATTTATGAGCTTGCATCACTGCTCATGTTGCTCCATGCATGTTAAGCTGCACTTTGCAATAGAAATCACTGCAGTGTTTAATTTAAACAGCCTAAAAGTGTTTCTGTAATGCATCAACACCTTTAAGGATGGAAGAAGGATCCAAAACTGACTGGCTAAACAGTTGTCATTAGGATAAATAATACATTAATCTTACTAAGAACCAAACAATCTCCAAAAAAGATTTCAACCTTAAAGATGCCATATGCATGTTTTTCCCCCACTTACTTTGTCAAGGTCATTAAAGGATAAATAAGCACAAAACTTGACTTACTTTTCCTCCACTACTTGTTTCTGGTACTCCTCATATTCTTCTCTAGTCATGCCGGCGGCCGCTGCGGGGTCCTTGGGGGTCTCCTCCTCAGCCTTTGCCTCTCCTCCTCCAAGTCCCATTCCCTTCAGTGGGTTCCCAACCATACTTTTGATTAAAAACGCCATTATTTACCCCGTTGGAGTCTCTAGCTTGACGTCAAATTGTGATTCCTTGAACTCTTTTGGTTAAACTCCTTATAGTTTCCAGTAGAGACGTCCCTCAGATGGATTGTTGGTGGTCTAATTGGAGCTAGGCTAACCGACCTGCCTGTCTGTTATCAAGGACACACTGTTCACTAGAAATGGCGGCCAGGGGGACCAAAAAAAAAAAAAAAAAAACGTTTATGGTGCAGCCATAATCTGGATTAAGATACGGCCGTCTACTCTGAGAGGCAGATGGCTGTGTGCTTTCTCTTTTCCACACAATAAAAGTGAAAGAACCCAGTGCATTTATCAATCATAAGCTATAACTAGAGAAAAAAATATCAGTAGTAGTCATCGATCAGAGAGAAAACTATGAATTTTGTGTTTTAGAGATTAGGTTGGCGTCCGCCATTGACGTCACATTTGTTGTATCCACCCACTGACTGCTAATCACATTACTTAATGAGGGACGGACCAATGCAGCTAGTTCCCAGATTTTCCATTTATACCCCTTCTGAGCCCAAAGAAGCACAGCTACAGGATTACAAACCTGTTTATCTGTTTCACAGGATGTGGATGAAGACGAGGAGCTGCAAATTTACACACCATATTTACTAGCAAACATCCAGGAAGTGGTTAATCCGTTCTTCAATACTTGTCTGTTGAGATGTTTCAAGAAAAACAGATAATGGTTATTAAACATGACATAAAATACCATAAAAAAAAGAAGAAAAAAAAAAGACTTGCCATGGATTTCTGGTGGTTTAGTTTGTCTCCCAATGTGACCAAACTGGTCTTCAGTGTTCTAGCTGGTCTTGCAGACTGGCCAAGATGGTCTTCAGGTGGTCTAGTTCTTCGAAGATGGTGTTCAGCTAATTTAGCTGAGCTGATCTTCCAGACTGACTAGCGAACAAACTTTTTTTAAAATCCTTTAAACTTGCCCAACCTGGTGGCAGGTAAGATAAGCACACAACTTTAAACTGTTCAGCTGTTAAATTGTGCACGGTTTAAACAAAGAACAGCTACTTTCAGGCATTAAATTAGCCAAGTAGCAATTAGCATGTAGCATTCACACATGGAGCAGCATAAACTGAAAGGAACTAACGAAAGGTCTCGTTTAATTTGATCATTTGCAGTTGCAGTTTGACTATTGTCTTACAAAACAACTCTTGAATGTTGTGCTCTCATTTTGTGAGTTAAATATCTCTTAAAGCTCTGACACATTGATTGTCTTGTGTAAAAACAGCTTAACGGTCTAAGGTGGTGTACCTCAGACTGATTTAAGCCGTTTTTACCACAAGACAAGCATAACTTGTTAGATTTTGCATGGTTTAAACAAGAAATAGCTCAGTTATCAGCTATTGAGACAATACACAGTAAGCATCTTCGATTCTTTGAACTCCCATGACCTTTGTAAATTAACTCAGACGTTTTTTTAGGACGTTTTTTAATCTCACATCCAAGCTTTGACACAATGATTGTCCTGTGGTAAAGGTGGGATACCTACGAACTTATTTTATTATTCACAGTTGATAAAATTCAAAGAATCAGGTCAATTCATGTTGCATTTCGATTATTGTCCCTTTCGTGGAACAATAGTCAAACTGCAACATGAATTGACCTGATACACAAAACAACTCATGTTTTGTGAGGCGATTATCTCCTATTAAAGCTCTGACACAGTCACAACTGAAGCTGAGATTGCCTGTCCAAGGTGAAGACACTTAAAGCAATAAGGACACCATTGTGTCCCCACAGTCCAATAACTGTTCCATTATGAGTCTATTGGAAGCATAAACACGGTGAAAACAAATTATTCCTGAAGGAAAGGTCATTTAAAGAGTGGATTGTTGTGCACAAAGGTCTTAACATTTTCATTTCCATGAGGTGACAATACGGTTGCCTTGGAAGACAACTACTATTCATATAGGAAGTATGAAGGTAAAATGCAAATATAACCTGAACATCACTTAGCACTAATAATAAGTTAATCCAAAGTGTCCTAAACTAACTAGGTGAAGTTAAAACGTATTGGAGACCATTTGAATTTGTTGGCAACTGAGACCGCTTGTGCTCCTATAGGTCCAGTGAGCTTGTGCCGGATTGACTGCACAGCACGGTGGGATGGAGTGACAGATGTGCTAAACGTACACGCCATCTCTCCATGTAATCCCCTGAAAAGAGAGAGGTGGGGGTGGGGAAGAGAGCGAGAGTACGTGATCAAGCTGAAGCATAGAGCAGTGATTGAGAGCGAAGAGAGACAGAGGGAACGGCTGTTGGATTATCAGCACTAAGAATCATTGGCATATCCCCATGCAATACTCAAATGTCACAAAAGGACGCTAGTAAAGAGGACGCTGAAAGCCTGTATCATCCACACAGTGATTCCGTAACTTCCTGTGCATAATTATTTATTAATATTGCATAACATTTTAAAAAGCAATTACGCAAACACTAACTTTATGTATGCTGTATTTAACATCAGTGATTATCTGCTGGCTAGGCAGGATGCTAAAAAACAAAACAATGATTTGATAGCACCACAAAAAATAAATAAATTAAACTAAAAAAAAAATAAAATAATAATATAATATAAAAATAATTATAATAATATAATATAAATAAAATATAATAAAAGCAAACTATAATATAACAAACATAAAATAATATATAAAATATAAATAACATTATAAAAAATAAAAACAACAAGGAAAATATAATATACTATAAAATAAAATAATGTAATATGAAAAATTAAATATAATAATAAAAAAAGATATATATATATATATATATATAAAAAATATAATAATAATATAATATAATGTATAATATATATATATAATATAATAACATAATATAATAAAATATAGCCTAATAAACTAGTAAGCTACATTTCTAATATTTCCCATAACAAAATACTTATCTGCCTGTTTTTTCAAAACATTCTGGATTGTAATCGCTCCCGTTCCTTTTCCTCACTATTGATTGAAAGCCTTTAAACCAACATGCAATCAGTTTGTGATGATTGGAGCTGAATGAAGGTGGAGAAAGTGTGTTAAAGCCCTCTGTCTCTGATCTAATCCCTAACGATGGCCCGGGTCACAGAAGCTTCTATAGAGCAGCACTATGGCTCACGGCTGGGTTCCTTACATAATCCCCGGCATGAGGCCGTCCCTGTCAGGCAGAGTTACATCTGCATCCAGGAGCTCTAAGCTTCCGCACTTCTGTACTCATTTAGACACTATGAGCTGTAAATTATATTACAATATATTCTTGTAACAGGCATAAATTACCTATGAAAACTTTTAAGAACGTATAATCTTTGGCAAGACTAAATGCTTATGAATTTTATTAGCTTTTAAAGTAGCAAACATAATGTGTGTGCTATGTATGACTTACTACTGATAGAATTAACTTTGTTCTTATTATTTTATAGAAATAACTAGTGCTGTCAAATCAATTAATCGCAATTTAATAAATCTAACATAAAAGTTTCTATATATTTTTTTCTCTTTCCGATATGCATAAATATAATTTCTACAAAAAAACACAAAAAAAAAACACTCATGTATGTTAAGTTGACAAAATGTGACAACACCAAGGTCATTTGATTTGTTTTATGTAAATTGTTTGAGAAGAAAAACATTTTTTTTGTTTTTTAAAGATTCAAAGAACACATTCGCAACCTTTGGATTCTTGCTTTCGCCAGTACAATAAAGCTTTAACACTTGTGGAGGAAAAATATGCCTTATTGTAAAGGTAATGCCAAAGTGAATGTGTTAAAATACTCAATCTTATTATAATTACTTCAGTTACCACAGTTCAGAACGTTTCTGGGACAGCGATTGAGATCTTGAAATGATTCCTGGACCAGTATTGAATAGGAAATACAATGTCAGACCTCTAAAGAATATATTACATCATATTCAGGAATCTTTCATTGAAAACGCCACACACACTTGGAAAAGAGCAGTCATTCAAACCCTGTACAAATCTGATCAAATTAAAAGTTAAGAATTAAAAAAAAAATCTCAAACAAAATACTTCAGTTTTCAAGTACAATAATTTACAGTTTGCAAACTGGAAATTAACAAAAATGGACAATATACATGTTGTGTTGTGTTTACCAAGAGCTATGAATCATCAAAAAAACTTCTTCGCTGCTGCTTCCTGTTGACTCCTGGAAGTAGATGAGAGAAACAAAAACAGAGAGAAAAGCATTAAAGGCAGTGTAGGCGATTTGTTTCAGATTTTTTTTTTTTTTATGCTGGTTGAAAGTCTCTTTACATCCTGTTAGCAATCAATAAGTTAAGTGGTCTAAATGTATATATATATTTATATATTGTCTGTGGAAGACATAGGACCATAAAATGTTTGTCCAATCATTGCATTCGGTGTGCAATGGTAGGATGTCCTACCTGCCTGTCAACATATGTATTTTAATACCTCCGCACACCTTCTCGCGCAAACATCACACATCATCAGCGCATTTCATGCTATTGCAGAGTTAGACAGACGTCAGTCACTGAGCGGGACAAATTAAACAGCAGCCGCCTTTTACAGTTCCTCCTGAACCGAAACAACAAGCTTATGCCATAACTACTGTAATTTGGAAGAGATGGAAACCCGTGACTTTTACTTGGAGTGGGTTGTAACTCAAATGTATGCGTTTCAATGTCATACCCATCAACGCCAAAATGAATCTGCAGCAGTCAGGTAGTACACATCAGAGCTCTTCAAGTTTTATTGTAATGTTATGTGCTTTCAGACACGAGGTAGTTTAAAGGTACAATATGTAGGATTTTTGCAGTAAAATATCCAAAAACCACTAGGCCAATGTTATATATTTTGTTTAGTTGATTACTTACAATATCCCCAATGTTTCCAACTATTTGTAAATCGTGAGAAAATTGCGATTTTAACCAAGGAAACGGGACGTGTCAGCAGGGGTGAGGAGTCGCCAGTCAATGGTGTCATATCCGCGTTACCCTCGGTTTCCGCTCGTACTGCCATAGTAACCATGGCGACAGACGTGGACAACTGGGTTATGCTTAGCAGGACGCTCACGCTGTTGTTGTTTTGTTCAAACATTATGGACCATGGCAAGCAGACTTTGAGACAAAAAGAGGACTAGAACGAAGACGAGGACTTTCGAGACGCCGAGAGCTCCACGACCACGTCCGCGACTAACTTCGACTTGACAGAGACGCGATTGTTCCATGTACTTTATTAGACAGGTGAGCAAATGTACATAAAACGAATCAATGTTATTTAGTTCAATATGATGAAATGTTAGAATATGATTATTCTAATGTTGATCTAGCTCACTGCTAGTCTCATACAGCCAACAAACAACCTAAATAACAACATTCAACAC